TGGTCCTCTACAATAATAATTTTAAATTCTGTTTGATTTTAAATCTTGCTTTAGAGTCACATTAAGATAGATTCCTTCAGGAAAGCTAGTGTTTTGGTACCTGACTTAGTATAATCAATTGGGTATAATGCTGCTTCAGAAAATGACTTTTCCTTCTCATTCCAAAAATCCATCTAATTGGGGAGAAAAAGTCCCTATTTATTATTAGCACATGATTGTTCAGATTTGAAATGGGAAAAGGGAAGAGAGATAGAAAATCTTCCCATCCAGTGGTGTTTTGAATCCTCTCCTAGTCTCTCTCACCACCTAGTTCTGAAGATAGTGAACTTTGTCCTGCAGTCTCATATTTACAGAGCTTAACTGCTTTGTACCTCATTATTTTTACATACCGTTGAGGGTTGATATCTACAGCTTATGCTGAGTTTAACATTTTTCCCTTGGAGAAATTGCCTCTGACACCTTTCTAATTTAATTGTAGTGTGTTTAAAGAATAATTTTTCCTCAGAGGCCACTGTCTCCTCTCTTGTGCTAGTGACTTACATGGTCTAACAGTGTGTGTCCTGTCCATGCCTCGTCTCTCTCTGGCTCCTTAACTTCAGGGAGGTCTTGGAAGTGGAACATGTGCCCTCTGGGCTCTTAGACTTCAGCAGCTGCAGTGCTGGCCTCTGCTTTCCAGCTCTGGACTGTGTGTCCTGCAAGGAGGCCAGCACACTCTGGAGTGACACTAATGTGTTAAAGCAGAGCTTCTACATGTTCTATGGTGCTGCTTTAATGTATTTTCTCTTTAAAACTGTCAATTCTTGGAGAATGAAATTGTTAAACCTTTCATTGTGGAGGATTTTCCCCACCAGGTAGAAATGGGCAGTGGATCAAAATCTGATCCTAAGTGATTGAATTTTTGATGTCATAGTGTGTGGGAATACACTCTCTTCTCTGTGTTTCTTCTCAAACATTTTGTCTCAGTCATGTCCAGCACATACCTTGACTCCTTTACAAGTGACCATTCTTCCCTTCTCAGTAGATGCCCTCAGTGGCTTTTAGCCATTTAAAACTGATTTGACAAGTGGCTACAAACTTAGTCTGAAACTTGTATTCAGTGTGTAGTTAGTAATAGAAATAGCAACTATCTTTAATGCTCAGTTCACTGCTCTTAAGATCACACTCTTATGCCAGGAGGCAGCAGCGTGCACCATTAGACTCTGGACAGGCATCCCACACAATTGCAGTGATGGCACTGTCACAGTAGTCTTGCCTGGGAGAGACTGAGCTGTGGGGAGCATTTCCCTCTGGGCATTCAAGATTACACAGGCTAGCCCATGCCCCATTCTGGCTGGAGAACACCCAGCCCTTTCCTTGCTCAGTGACACCTTTTTCTGGGCAAGAAGCTATAAAGTCACTTTATTATCAGTGAGTCTTCAAATATATTCACAGATATAACTGCTGAAGGGAGAAGATTGACCACTACTGATTTAATTCTCCAATATAAAAGCAATTCAGAGTAATGTGTGCACATGTCCACACTTGCCCATTTTTCTGGGAAGCTCTTGCACCAGGGATTTATAGGCATCTGGGCTGCACTTTGAATGACACACTTGTGGCTTTAGAGTAGCTGTTGGTTTTGTTGGTGTTGTGTTCTGTTTTGTTTTTAAATTGTTCTTTGTTTCTTTTTGTTAAAGATTTAATCAGCTAGATTAGACAGCATCATTTGTATTTAACTGCTGAAACTTTGGTACATTGATGTTTAATGAATGAGCTTGCATTGTGTAGCCAGAGCCTACAAAGGTTTTTGTCGGACGTACAAGCACTGCCTGAGGCCAGTGCTCAGAGGAGTTTGTAGTGCAACCAGTAATAGCTCATTTAGATGATGCCTAGCTCAGTTGAGAAGGGGGATGCTGTGCACTCTTCTAGGTCTGAGGGTATGCAACTTTGGATCTTAAAATTATGTACACATACACACTTTATATATATGTACGTATGTATGTATGAAAACATGGGATTAGTTTGTCAAAATGTGTGTGTTTAGTATTTTAGCTTAGTGCAACTATTTCCACATTATTTATTAAATTGATCTAAGACACTTTGTTCTTGGCACCTTGAATATTAACATTCAAGGGTGCAATGTGTATTCCTTTAGATTGTTAAAGCTTAATTACTATGATTTGTAGTAAATTAACTTTTGAAATATATTTGAGCCCTTCTGTAGTGTAATAGGGCTCTTACAGGGTGGGAAAGATTTTGATTTTCCAATAGCTAATTGAACAAAATGGCTTCATTGTATATTTTGATTTATAGGAGTCTATAGGTGTCTGGCTCCCAAAGACATCTACTGAAGATGACTGTTGTAGGCCAGGTGTGGTGATGGTTAGACTGAACCTAAGTGACTTGGGGAGCCAGAGCCCCTTGTTCAAGTCCTTAGACTCCTGTAACTCTTATTCCCCTAGGATGTGGAACACAAATCCCGTCCATCTTCACATCTCAGTTGGAGAGGCAGACTTCTTTTCCTGTAGTATTGCACACCTAGTGTTGCTGTGAGTAAAATCAGCAGAAAAAAATAAACGAGTGAGTGACTGGGAAGATGCACTGATGAGGCCCAGCTGTCACGTTTGTGAATGTATCTATCACACACTTACCAGTGGAGGCACTCAGCTTCGACTCCCGGACCCTGACACCAGCCAGCAAGTAACAAAAGTCTTTAAGGCTAGAGAAGGCCAGGAGTGCTGACCCACTCTCCAAGAAATAAATAAATTTAAAAGTTATTTGGTGAACCAGGTGTGCTGGTGCATGCTTTAATCCTAGCACTCGGATAGTCAGTTTGAGGCCAGCATGCACTTCATAGAGAGACCTGTGAGAAAAGCAAAGTGGAGTAAGAGGACAGTGGTCTGCAGAGCTCCTATTCACATGAACCCGGTTAATTAAGACGAACTTGCTGTCTGCAGAGCAGGGCATACAAACAAGCTACACCTGTCTTGTAGATGGAATTGAGAACAAGGTGTCAACTAAGTCAGAGGTTCCAGCTTCAATAGCTAATTTTTAAGAAGTTGATTTTCAGGACTGTTCGCATGCGCCTCTCTCCTTGCTGCCATTGCTCAGCTAAGCAGAAATCATCATCCGTAAACCCGGAGAAAGCGCTCAAGTGAGCATGGACAAGCTCTCACCCAGAAATCCTAATAATACTTGGCTTTAACCTTGCTGCTTCTGTGTTAGGTTTCTTCTCAGCTTTTAGCCACTGGGGTTTCTGCCTGTTCTGTACCTCTCTGGAAGACATCAGTTTGGAAGTGCTGCCTTTCAAATCAATGCCATGGCTTCTGTATTGTTGAGCTCGTTGTTGTCTCAGAGGTGTCCCCATTATGCACACACCTGGCATATCACTGACATGAGCATTCAACAGTACTGGGGCGGGGCAGGGCTCACCAACAGCGCTGGCTTACTTAGCAGGGCCTGCAAAGGCCACACTTGAGGGTCAGACGCCCAGTTGGTAAGCACAGTTAGGGAAATTTCTACCTAGCCTCCGTTTTGAATGATTTTTGAGAAGTTTTATATATGGAGGATGGAAATGCTTATATATTTATTGAAGATCTTTTTATTTGAAATTAAAATCATTTGGTAAATAATGGTTTGCTATTTGGGGAGGGTTTTGGAGGGGAAGTAACATGATTGATAAAGTACAGGCCTGTTACCTCTGCAGAAAGGCACTGTTGCTGATAGGAGGCCTTCATCCTGTACACGATCCACTCTTTGTCTGACTTTCTTTAACCCAAAACATCCAGACATCTGACACTTTCAACCAAAATTTCACTTGTATACTGTGATTTTTATTTGTTGCAATACATTAAATTTCAGAGGTACTTTGGGGCTCAAAAGCTAGGATTTCTAAGTCAGTATGTGCATTTCACATAATAAGCTGTTAATGGTGAGCAAAGTATTATATACTAACTAGATTTTCCACATCTGTATAGTATATTATATGTATTTTGTGGTATTGAGATTATAGAAAGTTTAGAGTGTCAAACATGCGTTTAATGTGTATTTTTAAACAAATTTATGGCAATTAAAATATTTGGAGACAAGGGTATCACATTTCAATTTGTAAAACTCTTTTTAACTCTACTGTGTCATTACGATGCTTTGTATAATGCCAAACCATAGCTGGAGAAAGTACGTTTAATAAATATCAGATAGCTTTTCTGTATAACGTTTATATGCATGTGCTCTCGCTTCTTCAGCTCCTGGAGCTGCTCTTTTGTACCTTAGGTCCAGTCCTGTTCTGTAAAGTCGTCCCACCAGCACAGGTCTCATTTTCTGGTTACAGAAATTTTAGACTCCGGCCATGGGTCCTTGTCCATGTATTGCAGTTCTTTTATATGCTCTTAAGACATAGGCTATTAATTGTCTCGTTCATTATTTATTTATTCTTACTGTTTATTTGTTGGATTTTGTTTTTCTGAAACAGGGTCTCATTTTGTAGCCCCTGGCTAGCCTGAAACTCATTACATAGACCTGGCTGACCTTGAACCAACAGAAATCTGCCTGCTTGTGCCTCTGCCTCCTTTTCCCTGGTACTGAGATTAAAGGCATGTTCCACCATGCCCAGTTTATTGTTTTGTTAAATCAGACTTTTCTTTGGTTTCTGTTTTATGTTCATAAAGTTATTGACAAATTTTGCACACCCTTAGGTGGCACATGCCAGCCTAAAGAGTTCTTTGCACAGTAAACAGCCATGATCTGATCTCTCGTTAAACTTATGCATTGCCTCCATCATGCTCTGCATGAGATTCTTTGAAGAATGGGTGTTTTCCACACCTCCCAGGTGGAGCAGCACCACTCATTAGATAGTGAGTGCTGTTTCCTATAATGCATGAAGTGAGTCAGTCAAGTGTCAATTCCAGACTGCCAGAATTTGGATTGGAGACATTTAATATAGTATGTATAGAAAAATAAACTCTGACAAACTTAATTACATCTATGTACAAACCAACAGTCTAAGAAGAAATGGAGACTGGTTTAAAGCAAGTATCTGTCTTTAAATATTAAAAACACAAGATTGCTTCACTTAAGTATCTCCAGCCAAAATGCACTTAACCAATATTCCATAGAACGGAGCACTGTTGGAGGTCACTTTTCTGCTTGTATGAACATCACTCCTGGGCCACACTTAGAGAACAGCGTCTTTTTCTAGGGGGAGAAGAAAAGTGTTTACAATTGGATGGAGACCTAAGGAGCCACAGACCACCCCTGCTGCCTTCACTGTCTTGTCTTATCTGCCCAGGGTTGGAATCCGAGTGGTTCTTGGCTATCAAGTAACTCTCCTCCATGAAACTTGCAGCTTCATCCCTGTACACCCCGCTGCCCCCTTGGATCTCTGTTTTCTCATCTCACACCTCCCAGCTTCCCAGAGCTCTCTGGCCCACCCTGCACTCAGGTTTGTCAAATACCTGCATAGTCTTGTGATACACTCTGAATCATCCCGACAGGAAGCGCCAATGGGCCTGAGGGAAACCCCTCTCCAAAATGGGGTCATTCTCTTGGATCTCTTCGCTGAACTCAGCTCTGGTACTGGGGAGCCATTGACCTGTAGAGCAAAGGCATACCCACTTCAGGTGGGGAAGCACTCACTCTCTGCTGCACACCCAGGTTGCAGGAGGTCTGACAGCATTTCTCAGGACTGAGTCTGACTTTGAATTCCACTGCGGCTTCTATATCCAACACACACATGAATTTTCTTTCTTACCTGGCTCAACAGCAACAGACTAGCCATGAGCACTGCAAAGAGCTGGAGCTGTAACATCTTGGCAAAGGGAAGATGTTGGAGCCTGAGAGACAGGGGGCAGTTCCCGTTTCCTTTTATAGACTGACACCTATCTGCTTTTCTCATGGTTGCCAGGTGAGGTAGGGGCAAAGTTCGTTTGTAATCAGGATCAATTTAATAAGTTAATGTGTACCCAAAGGATGTAATCAAGGGCTACACTTCAGGCACATTGCACTTACTGATCCCTCATCTGGACTTTGGTGATGTTGCTGGTCTGGACCCTTATACCCACCTTATCAGAAATCTGCATTGTCCCGCCTTCCCTCTGAAAGCCACGTGAATCCATGAGGGAGACCTGGAACCTGGCCACACTTTTAAAATAGCAGTTTAACAGTGAGGGTATTTATGATGTCCTGGGTTCAATTCCCAGAACCAAGAAAAAGCCCTAAAATATCACTGTGAGATGATTATAATCAAAATGGGATTTAATAAAGTCAGAAGTAATGTTGACTTCTATAGGCAAAAAACACTGACTTGCTGTGTCCAGGCAATTGGATGTGGCCCTTTGTCCTGTGGGAGACCACGTAAGCAGACAGCCTACAGTGTCCCAGTTCCCCATTCACAAAGAGGGGCTGTCATCTTAGCTCCTGCACCACCGTCTTAGTGAAGATCTGGCTGTGAAGAACGCAAATTCTGTCCTTCCTCCAGGGGACAAGCAGTGTGCTGCCTCCTAAACCATAGGTGAACTGAACGAATAGGTTTTTGTTTTTAAGAACATGTGAACAGAAGCTCATAAATCTCTGTCATTACAGCTTATGTACTGACAAGTGACTAGTGGGCTTTATCCTCGGTAGTTAACTGGTGCTTTGGCAAAGCACTTCCTTCCAGCAGCCTCACGGCAGCAGATGTTAAGCAAAGTCTGAAGCCCAAACATCTGTTAGCTTTAGTAGAAATCCCAATAGGTTCCTAGATTAACACTTAACTGTACTGAATGTGAGTAGTTATGGGTACTACATGACAAGACCTTTGCTTTTGAAAACATAACACAGCCCAGGCTGGCCCAATTTCACAGTCCTGCATTGGTCTTGGAAGTGGACCCACTCAGCAATGGGTGTTTTTAAATCAGTTTGACAGGAAAAGCTGAATTCAAAGTCAGGACATGCATAGGAGCTTAGATCTCCCTATGACAATAAGAAACCACACACACACACACACACACACACACACACACACACACACACACACACACTACAAATAGTCTGTCTCCTTATCTAAATTTATCTCACTGGTAACCCATCTCATCTTCATGATTGGACATTTAGACAGGAGCCTGTTTTTGTTTCTTTGTCCCAAGCAAAAATGGAGAAACTGCTGCAGTGCTGAAGGGAACAGCATGGTCACCAATCCTTAGGCAAAGCAAATGCAGCTTCTCCAAGGGAGAAGTGTGATGGACTTCAGCTGGTAAGGGGTGGGGCTTAACTCTGCAGACCTGTCTGCCTTGGTTCCAGTCCTCTGTAGAAAATGGAAGTCTGGTGGAGAACTCCACAGTCTAAGTTGCTGAATAGACCTACCTACCGAATACAACCAGTAAATCCTACCAGTTCAGCTGTTGCCCTCCTGCCTAGAGGTTAGACTGGATGACCTCAAGTAGACTAAGTGGGAACTTGTGCAGAGTTGGGGAGAAGCTATGCAGTGACCCAGTGAACATTGAGTAAGAACACAGATGTGATTAGATAAGCAAGACTGAACAACGTGATGTCCTAGAACCAGTTAGGTCTGTGGGATCAGTGCCAGTCACTCCACCAGTATTCAGTGACATGCAACTCACCCAAAAGATGGGTTTTCTCCCAGCCTTCCATATCTGCCTTCCTTTTCCCTGAGCAAAACCAAAGCAGCCTTTTGTCTAGTTTCTAAAGCTCATCCTAGCCCAATCGAAGGAGAGTATGCCTTGTGCACAGGAAAAAGAGCTTTGTTCTGTCCAAGGTCCCCAGATTTAAGCCATCTGCAGGCCAGCTCTCCTTCCCAAGAACTTGCTTGTCAGGAGCAAGTTACTAAACATGCAAACAAAACCTGTAGTTGTATTTAAAGGAAATGTGGAAGCCGGAAGTTGTATTTAAGTGAAAAGTAGCCCAGATCAGGAATTTGTGTAGTTTGCGCAAGACTCTGGATTTGATCCCTAGTACTAAAGAAAAAACATGGAGCACTCTCAAATTCTGAGAGGTGAAGCAGCCTCTAAACCCTCGGCAGAATTAACATCAGTTAGCCACACCATTTTATACCTTTCCTGTGAAAAACTACACTATGCCTGAAATTTAAACAATCTATCTGTTCTCTCGTGTCAAGTATGTTGTTAAATGAACAAAGAGCTACAGGTTCCTGCCTCCATAGGCCTCAGCTGTGCCAGTTTCAGCTGTAAAGCAAGAACTCTTGGCCAGGAGGCAGCAGCTACAGAGTATGTGACCACAGGTCAGCCCTTCCCCTCTTCAGCTTTAGTCTTTTGCTCTGACGGTGAGAAGAGAGAAGGCCTCAGGCCTCATGGACACATCTGGGAATCCAAATGACTAGTTTACAAGAAGTGGAAGCCAAACAGGTTTGCTTGGGAGAGTTTGCTCCCTCCATCCAGGAACAACCCCATGGATATTCATTTGGGAAGAATGCTAGAATGAAACAGGAGAAAGAGCAGAGACACTTGAGGAGCTGTCTGAAGGTCTTCTGGGTGGAGGGAGACTCATTAAGATTTTCTGGTAATGGAACACTTTGGTGTTGTCCCTGAACAAGGGGTGCCTAATTAAAGATGAAAGACTTAGAAAATGGAAAAATGCTTCCAGGTAAAATTTCAACAAAGGGTCAAAGTGCATTTGTTTTTTGGCTAGAAATGGTAGGTGTCTGGGCCTGTACTAGGTAGGCCTATGTCCTGGCTATAATGTCAGCAGAATGAAGAGAGCTCCCTTTCCCAGATTATAGCCCACAGAGGAGAGTCATGTGGGGGCAGGAGCAGGGGCTTTCCCAAAAAGAGCTAAATGGAGCAACGGTTGCATCACAGGAGACAAAAGAGCTGTATCTTAGGGTTAGAAACTGTGGGTATCTAAGACATGGGACCATAGCAGCTATCTCTGCCCTTAAAGGCTAGGGAGACAGATGGCTCAGTTGGCAAAGTACTTGCCACACTAGCAGGAATATCTAAGTTTAGATCTCCAGCACCCACATAACAAGCCAGGTATGGCAGCAGGTCTGCAACCCTAGCATTGGGAGGTGGGGGAATCCCTGGGGCTCAATAGCCCCAACTCAGCTACCTGAGGTTCGATGCCTTGTCTCAAAAAAGTGGATAGTGATAGAAGACGTCTGATGTCAACCTGCCTACACACACATACACACTGTGTGACTGGAGGAGCAAGGGGTGGTTCATGTTGTCCTTTGTGAGCCTCTACAACTAGAACTAGTCTCTAAAGTGACTCCAGATCCTACATAGTCACTGTCTGGGCACCTGTCACACAGCTGAGTCCTCTGCCCCAAGCTCAAAGGGGAAAGCTCTGTGAGGGGCACAGTTCATCCATAAGGGACAGTTTCAGCAATAAGCAGAACCTCCGAACATCGAAGCACTTCCAGCAGGGTCACCTCAGTACTCACGATGGGTTGGAGGCCTGGCTCTGCAGTAAAGGCTCTTGCCATCCAGCAACTACGACCCAAGTTTGCTCTCTAGTGAACTCAGATAAAGGTGAAGTATAGAACGGAGAACTGACCTCACAAAGTTGCCCTCTGGCCTCCACATGCACACCGTGGCATATACAGTAACACATATTTTCAAAAGGTCAGCTCAAAAGGCTCATGTCCTCCTGTGAGCTAAGAAAACTCAAGTTAGTCTTCTCAACTGGTGTGCCCAAAGTCATGATGGTTGCAGCTATATCTCCATCTCCCCAGGGCCTGCGCTTTTTTTTTTTTTCTTCGAGACAGGGATTTTCTGTGTAGCCATAGCTTTCTGGAACTCCTGTAGTCAAGGCTAACCTGAAAGAGATCCACCTACCTCTACCTCCCACATGTTGGGATTAAAAGCGTGCAGCACCACCATTTGGCTTCATTTCAGATTCTTAAAGGAGTCTATGGCACATGGGATTTAAGAGCCAGTAATGAATCTGGAAAGAGCCAAATGGGAAACGGAATTGGGTATGGGCACAACTCTAGGAACTTCCTCAGACTCACCCACCTCACCATCTCCACTACAGGTAACTCAACCACTTTGGGTTGACATATTTTATAGATAAGACATTTAAGGCTCCAATTAAGACAGTGGTTCTCAACCTATAGGTCTGCCTTTTGGGAAGGGACTGAATAACTTTTTCACAGGGGTTACCTAAGACCATTGGAAAACAGACATTTACATTACAATTCATAACAGCAGCAAAATTAGCTTTTTAGTAGTGATGAAAATAATAAAATTATTTGGGTCACCACAATATGAAGAGTTGTATTAAAGGATCACAGCATTAGGAAGGTTGAGAACCATGGTTTAAGGGCATGGGTATAAGTCTATCAGACACAGCCATTTATCATATCCTGCTTCATATCCATGCGACTTACAGATTTTCTGTTGCTGGAAGTCATTTGTTCTCTTCTGAGGACTTTTGGCACCAGCCAGCAATCATCAGGCAAAAGTCAGAGTCAGACATTACATAGAGTTGCTGCATTATGCAGCAAGCATCCTTAGCTGACTAACAGGGCCAGAGGCTCAGGACTTCCATGCACAGCCACCCTATCGCCTCCAAGAGAAGAGAAATAGGGGCATCCAAAGACTCTAGAGCAGGCGGCATACCTTTTCCAAAAAGGGATGAGTCTTTCTAGACTTTGTGGTGCACATACAACTAAAAGCCACTGTTGGATTGGCCCCATGATGCAATCATGGTTCCCTGACTGACACCTGTTGCAGCATCTCTTTCATAGCTGAAACCCCTCAGGCTAAGGAAGGCCTTCCTTGGGGAGCAAAGCAGCAGAATATAGTTTTAAGAGCACGCACTGGTACCTGGCTCTACCAACTAACTGTCATGTGATTCTGGGCAAAGTACTTAAACTGTGATTCCTCATCTGCAAAGAGATTATAATGCTTCAAAGGCTGCTGCAAGTTAAAAGTTCCTTTAGGTGTGTAGGAAGAACACCTGACATTCTAATTACAGTGCCATTACTAGGCTTTAGTTGTAATGGGAGCGAGGGTCAAGAGCTGGCCTTCCACAGCCATGCCACTCAAACCTGACCCAAACTCCACTCAGAACTTGTGCTGGGAAAGGGACCATCATGACTTGAATGTCGCCAGTCACACTAACGACTCTACTTACAAAACAAAACAAAGTTGGGCCAGGCACGAAGTTGAACACCACGACTTAGGAGGCAGAGGCAGAGGATTTCTTAAGCCAACCAGGTACACATGGTCTCAAACAAGCAAACAAAGTCACAACAGGGAAGCCTGTAAGTAGTTTATTGTGTCTTCAAGACACCACAATGTAGACTCTTCTCCCAGAGACGGGTCTTTCAAAGGCAGGAAACTGTCATCCAGAAGTGTGCTGCTCACTTGTCATTTTCGTACATGGCTGGATTCTTCCTTCTGGACTGCTCAAACTCCTGGTTCCCCCACGTGTAGATCAAATAAAACATCACAAATGCTGTAATGATCAACAGAGTAAGCTGTGAGCACATGGATCATGGGGTCTTCCTCAGCTCCCCTGCCCCCCCTTTAAAATATGGTCTATGTAAACAAGAGAGGCCTCAAAGCAGAGACCCACAGCCTGCCGTGTACTGTGTCTGCTCCAAGTCCTTTGGTTTTTCTGTAGCTTTTGGAGCCTGTCCTGCAACTCACTCTGTAGACCAGGTTGGCCTCAAACTCACAGAGATCCACCTGCCTCTGCCTCCTGAGTGCTGGGATTGGAGGTGTGACCACACCACCCAGCTCAGTCCTCATTTTTGATTTTCAAACATTTTGCCTGCCCTTCTACTGTCACGAGCTTTTAACTTTGGTTTTGGAGACAGTTTCTCTGTGTACCCATGGTTGGCCTTGAACTCAGAAATCCTCCTGTCTCTGCCTCCTAAGTGCAGGGATTATAGGTGTCTTTGGTTTTTTGACCAAAAAACCTGAGTGCCTCTGCCTGAGTGCTGGAGTTACAGGCGTGAGTGCCCAGCCTTTGCTTTTCGTGTTCTGTGAATGTTTCACCTGTATGTATGTCTGCATAGCACATGCATGCCCTGTAACTAAGGTAGTAACAGTGTCAGATCCCTTAGGACTGGAGTCACAGGTGGTTGTGATCACCTTATGGGAGCTGGGAACAGAACCAGACCCTCTGGAAAAGCAGCAAGTGCTTTTATCTGCTGAGCCGTCTCCAGCCCTATGTGTGTGTTTTGAGGCAGCCTCTTAATATATGGCCCTCGGCCTGAACTCCCTTTGTAGACCAGGCTGGCCCCAGACTATGTAGATCCACCTTCCTCTGCCTCGGGAACCCTGGGATTAAATGCAGGCACCATCACGACGAGAAATTACTTTAAATAAGAGGGTTTTAAAAATGGTTAAATTACACATCCATTTTATAAGCAACCAAAACAAAAGGCCTCAACCCAGAAGATTTGGCCCTGACCTTCCTAGTTTCTCTCCTCCTTAACACTAAATGAAAAACTTCACGAGATAACTGAAGATGAAATTCACCTAACATATACTTAGCCATTTCAAAAGAGCATTTCAAGTTGCTGTGCTGGCACACGCCTATAATCCCGACCAGCAGTCAGGAGGACAAGGCAGTAAAATCGCAAGTGTGAGGCCTGGGTTCCACAGCAAGATCGGGTCACAATCTGGCCACTAACCCAAGTGTACCTTCCACGGGTTCTTGGCACACTCACAATGCCACGAAACCGTCAGCACAATCGGCGCGTATCTAACACAAGTCATTGCATCAGCATTTCACCACTGACAGCGACCAGCGATGACCTCAGAGGGAGACGCTGGAGTCATCCAAGTGACCTTAGGCCAGTCACTTCGATACGGTAAGCACTCCACGTCTGCCGAGGGCGTCGCAGGAAAGGTGCGCATCCCTCCCCCGCCCGCCCCGCACTCACGCGGCGCCACGCGCAGGATGCGCTCGCGAGTGCGGCGCATCACGTTGGGGATGCCTTTGCTGAGGAAGTGCGGGAAGGCGCGCTGCTCAAAGGGTGACAAGCTGTAGGAGATCACGTGCCGTATCCGCGTCAGATTCCCAAACTCGCGGCCCATGGTGGCGGCGGCCCTAAGGACGGAGGACACAAGCGCGGCTTAGGCCGGCAAGGAAGCCCCACTAACCCGTACCGGCCGTCGACACCAGGTCACCTTTACCTCCACCGCGCTGAGCCCGGCTTCCAGCGTCACTTCCGGAAGGAGCGGAAGCTGAGCCTGAAGATCGTGAAGTCATTTCCGGAGAGCACCATATTTTTTTTTTTTCCTTCTGCCTCCAGGGGGAAACCCGATCAACGTGTCCTAAAGGGAAAATGGCCGGAACAGCTGACCTGTGGGGGCGTGGCCTACCGGGCGTGTGGGCGTGGCCCGCGTCTAGAGGGCAGGGGCGGAGCTTACAGGTGCAGAACCGGCCCTTCAATAGGCGCATGGGTAAGGCCCTTACGCGGCCTGTGTGCCTTAGCGGAGCGTAGAAGGCTTGTGGGCGGGGCTCATATTGGCACGTGGGCGGGGCTTGGAGAGGAATGGCGGCTAGGTAGGAGAGTGGTCGCGGGTTTTTCGACCGATGGGCGGGGCTTAAGCGGATACTTCAGTGAGACTCCGGTCTAGAGAAAAACGGGGCGGGACTTAGGGGCGTGGTTATGAGAACGGGCGGGGCTTAGGAGCATGTGGGGTTCCAAGACATGGTTTTTCTGCTCAGTGCCCGGGCTTTTTCGGGATACCAGAGCTGGAAGCTTTCCAAAGATAAAAAAGGGACTTTGTCCTCCTGGATGTCTCTTAGCGAAGGAGTGCCAGGTGTATGGGATCCCCGTAACCAAAAGGGGGATGAGCTGTTGTCAGACCCTTACTGACTGCAGTACACTTGGATCTAGGGCTTCGGGAAACACTGCCTAGTAAGCCACTGGCAGCCGACAGACTGGTCGAAGATGTGACACAAACGTTTCTCCCAGTTCAGTCACGAGTCATCAGCTCTCCGTCTGGCAGCTCTCAGACCGTGGTCATGGGAGCCATGGGGTGGGCGCTCGGTTCAGGCCGGGTGTGTCATGAAGCCCAGTCTCTTTCCACTCTCTAGGGAGCTGTTGTGTTTTCCCTGAAGTGCATTCTCCTAATACACTTGGGACTCACGGACCTTTGTGTTTCTCCCAGTGGCTGTAAATGGGATGACTGGCCCGTGTATGATCTGGTGATCAAACTGGGACTGCTTGGCAGACAGTGAGTTTCAGTTTTGCAAGGGTTTGGCTTCTTTAATCTGGTGCTGCACAAACTGACTTTGTGTGTTATGAATGTGGGTTGACTCTCCCAGAAGATAGTCACCTGCCGAAAGGCACTAGGCAGCCCCTCCTTTTGTGGCGCACCTGCCCATGGTTTTCCTAAAACATTATCTAGCTTGGTCTCATCTCCAAGGCTGAAAACACGAATACTTTAGTTAAGGACTAAAATACTGTCGTGAATTCTACCATCTGGATGGCTGGTTAAAAGAAATTAAGACTTTCATTTAATAGCACTTGCATATATCTCAAAACCTTTCTGCCAGAATATGGTTACATGAATTGTAGACCCAAAAACAAGGACACCAGGATATTGTACTTTTCATTACATTTTAAAATATATATTTTGCCTCTCGGATGTGGCTGAGCTTAGGCACACAGCTGGAATTTTCTGCAGGATCCAATGCCAGGAGCATCTGAGTAAGGAACTCTTGAAGTCTTAGATTAAAAAAAATTTTTTTTGCCTCCAATAAAACTACATTGCAAAGAATGGGAAAGAAACAGAATGGAAAGAGTAAAAAAGTTGAGGAGGCAGAGCCTGAAGAATTTGTGGTAGAAAAAGTCCTGGACCGGTGTGTAGTGAATGGGAAGGTGGAGTATTTCCTCTAGTGGAAAGGATTTACAGATGCTGATAATACTCGCGAACCAGAGGAAAATTTAGATTGTCCAGAATTAATTGAAGCACTTCTTAGTTCTCAAAAAGCTTGTAAGGAAAAAGATGGTACAAAAAGGAAATTTTTACCTGTCGATAGCAAATCAAAAAAGAAAAGAGATGCTGCTGACAAACAAGGGGTTTTGCCAAAGGTCTTGATCCTAAAGGAATAATCGATGCCACAGACAGTAGTGGAGAATTAATGTTTCTCATGAAATGGAAGGCCTCAGATGAAGCAGACTTGGTGACGTGTCCTCAGATTGTTATCGCCTTTTATGAGGAGAGGCTGATGTGACATTCTTGTTCAGAAGATAAGGTGCAATATTTGTTTGCATGCATATATAATGTGTGTGTATATATATGTATTCTGGATCATGTGTTTTGAATTACTAGTGTGGGCAAAATAGCGTTCTAATGGAAATTGAGTTTGATATGCTGGTTTTGAAAGTATTGACAGTAATTAGGTTAGTTTTGGTTTTTGTTATGCATCAAAAGGCACTGATTCCTTTGAGTAAATAAAGCTTTCTGTAGTTGCTTCCTTTTAAAAAAATATGTATTTTGTATGCAAGGGGCAGGGGCATATGCAGGTATAGGTCAGAGGACAACCTGTAGGTGTCTCTTCTCTCCTTCTACCATGTGGACCTTAGGGATTGAATTCAGGTCTTTAGGACTACGTTTGGTCATTAGGCTTGGTAGCAGGTGCTTTTACTCCAGATCTATCTTCCCCATCTAGATAGATATTGTGAGTATATGGGGTTTTTTATGATTTGTTTATTTTCATTTTATAATGGGTGTTTTACATTCCTAAGGATGCCAGAGAAAGGTGTTGGATGCCCTGGAAGTGGACTTACAGATGGTCATGAGCCACATAGTTTGTTCTGGGAAGAGCAACCAGTGTCCTTAACTGCTGAGCTATCTCTCCAGTCCTAGGATGTCTTATGTTTTAATTGGTCAAGATTAAAGGTTATGTCCTCCTTTTTAATTAATTATTTGTTTTTATTATTTTATGTGCATTGATGTTTTGTCTGCATGTATGTCTGTGTGGCATTACAGACAGCTGTGAGCTGCCACGTGGTTGCTGGAATTTGAACCCAGGTCCTCTGGAAGAACAGTCAGTGCTCTTTAACCACTGAGCTATCTCTGAAGCCCTGTGATGTTCTCTTTTTATTTTGAGACAGGGTCTCCATATTATGTAGCCTTGGCTGTCCTAGAGCTCTCTCTGTAGACCAGGCTGGCCTTGAATTCACAGAGATCCATCTGCCTCTACCTCCTGGGATTAAAGGTGTACGTACACACACACACACACACACACACACACACACACACACACACAGCCCCAAGTCCTCTTTTAAAGCACACTGCAAGTAGCTGTTGTGCCAAATTTCCACCGCCCCCCCACACACATACTAGGCCACCTGGGCAGACTGAAAACCTAATGTCACTCTAGAATTTTTTTTTTTTTTTTTGGTTTTTCGAGACAGGGTTTCTCTGTGGCTTTGGAGGCTGTCCTGGAACTAGCTCTTATAGACCAGGCTGGTCTCGAACTCACAAAGATCCACCTGCCTCTGCCTCCCGAGTGCTGGGATTAAAGGCATGCACCACCAACGCCCGGCTCACTCTGGAATTTCTGTACCCATTGTGATTTCCTGTGTCTCCAACTCACTATGCAGTAAGTAATCAGTTAGTGCTAAGGAAGTGGGAGCCGTGGAGATGGTGAATCAAGAGAAAAAAACAAACCTAATTTTTCTGCAGTTACATCTCCAGCCCTAAGAGATAGTGTTTTCTAATTCTTTGGGCTTCTCTTGGGTTTTCAGCTATGTAAGTAGTTCATGAGGATAATGATATTTGGTGGTTTTGAAGTAAATGTCAGGGAAACGGGAAAAGCTAAATAAGTAGATAAATCTGTGTCTAATGAGAACAAACTGTATAAAAGTGTGCTACAGCTGATTGCTGTAGAGCTGATAAAAATGACGTACAGCTAGGCATCCTTGAGGTCTGATTACAGAAGTGAAGCTGGGCCTCCTCACCTAGATTTTATTTAAGGACCACACCAGGGCCTTCTCAGTCCTTAGAAGAAAGACTGGCGTGGGGAGATGCGTTCCCTCTTAGTTCTCCCCAGCCATGGCACTTCCCAGCAAACTCCTGTTTGGGTTTTGCTGCTTCGCCTGGCTCTGTTTTCTCGCTAGCCTCGGCTCTCAGGCTTCTAGGGGAGAAGCCCGGACCAGAGCCAGTGCAGCTTTGGAGTCTGAGGCAGATCCTTGGTCCTTGCTGCTGCCCGTAGAAGAGACAGACAGGTCAGGCCTCTTGCCTCCCCTCTTTAAGGTCCTGTCTGATAGGCGCGGTGAGGCCCCTAAGCTGCAGCCCGACTCCAGAGCACTCTACTACATGAAAAAACTCTATAAGACGTATGCTACCAAGGAAGGGGTTCCTAAACCCAGCAGAAGTCACCTCTACAACACTGTTCGGCTCTTCAGCCCCTACACCAAGCAAGAGCCGGCTCCTGGCAACCAGGTGACAGGTGGGTGAGAGCAGATTGCTAATTGGGTGAAGAGAGGGGACAGGAATGTTGATGTCTCAAACTCTGCTCCTCCTGCATCAACCTCTTGAGTACTAGGATCACACAGGTTTACAGTATCATGACAATTTTATTTCACGTAATTCTCAGTATCCAACTAAAACAAATTTAGCACTTTTTTTCCCCTGGAGACAGGGTTTCTCTGTGTAACAGCCCTAGCTGTCTTGGAACTCTGTAGACCACACTGGCCTCGAACTCACAGAGAACCATTTGCCTCTGCCTCCCAAGTGCTGGGACAAGGGCATATACCACTACCATCTAGCTTTAATTTTTTTAAGTTCTTGATTCTAGGACAGCGTCGGAGACTGTCCTGCAACTCACTTTGTAGACCAGGTGGGCCTCGAACTCAGAGATCCACCTGCCTCCACCTCCCAAGTGCTGGGATTAAAGACATGTGCCACCACCACCCAGCCTTGAATTCTTTTTTGGTGTGGTGGTGCTAAGAATCAAAAGGGTTGGAGGACTCAAATATGCAAGCTAAGCCCTCTGCTATTACATCTCTGGCCAGTAGCATTGATTAATTTTTAGTGTGTTTTGTAGGCCTAAACCATCATTAGTATGGTTGGATGGTGGTAGCATAATTTTAATCCCAGCACTCAGGAGGCAGAGGCAGGCAGACTAAGTTAGAGGCCAGTCTGGGCTACAGAGCAAATTCCAGGATAACCAAGGCTACAGAGAAAACCTGTCTTAAAAAAATGAAAAAAGAAATTAGTATGATATAGTATGATAGATTTTTGTTGTTTGAACTTCCTTCCTTACTTCCTTCCCCCCTCCCTTCTTCCCTCCTTCTCTCCTTCCTTCCTCCCTTTCTTTTTTGAGACTGGCCTCAAACTTGTAGTGATCCTCCTGCCTCAGTCACTTTAGGGCTAGGATTACAGGTATGTAACACCATACTAGCTCAGTATATTAAGGCTAAAAGAGAGTAATGTCTTGAAAGGTCAGGGAAAGTAGCTAAATCGTTCTATTCTACCAAAAGCCGTCGGCCTAGCATTTTGCCTAAAACCTCCCTTTGAGCCAGTGGTGAGTGTGATAAATGGGTCATTTCCTTCTCGTTTGTTTTCCTGTAAGAGGAAAGTTTCAGTCTCCATCTGGCACAATATACATCCTTTAAAAAAAATGTGTGGTTGGCTGGGCGGTGGTGGCACACACCTTTGATCCCAGCACTCGGGAGGCAGAGGCAGGTGAATCTCTGTGAGTTTGAGGCCAGCCTGGTCTACAAAGCTATACATAGAAACCCTGTCTTGGGGGAAAAATCAAAACACTGTATGGCTGAGATATGGTACAGTTTATGTTGAGTATGCCAGATGCCTGGATTTTGACCTCCAGTATCAACAAATCAAGTGGGGTATGGTGACACATGATTTTAATTCCAGTTCTCAGTAGATGAGGCAGGTGGATCTGAGTTCAGGGCAGGTCAGCTGGATCTACATAGTGAGTTCCAGGTCAGCCAGGGCTATCAGATGAAGCCCTGTATCATAAAAACATAACAAGAAAACCAAAGTGTTAGTCAACAATAGGAACAGTTTGGTAAGAAAGAAGAGCAGTGCTTTGAAAACCAACAAACATCCCAGGGCTTTGGAGATGACTCAGTGGGTGAAGGTTTCTTCCACCAAGCCCAACAACCTTAGTTCAATTCCCAGGACCCACATGTTGGAAGGGAAGAACCAACCCCCACAAGTTGTCTTTTGACCTCCATGTGTGGGCCACAGAGTGTGTGCCCATTAACTACCCCCCACTGCCCCCTCCCCAACAACCAGTTCAAGGTGTAAAGAAAACCAGCATAACTGTCCGGGGCAGTCGTGGCTGTTAAAAGCCACCCTCCCTCCCCCTGAGCCCATTTTCTTGCAGCAGTCTTATGGTCTCCTTTTGTTTCCAATCTCACATGGTGAAATGAATGTGGCAGTCAAATGTTCTCAATTGACATGCTTCATCCAGGCCTAGCCAGTGCTGCTTCCCATGGTCTCCTGTGGGATACCACCATAGGGAGAGACACTTCTCACCTACCTGTGTTTGGAGAAAACTGTTGGGTCTGAAACTGGGGTGTAATGATTGTGTCTAGTCACTGCTCCAGCAAAGCTGTTCTCATTTTTGTAGAGATGGAATGTATTTGCATGTGTGAATTGGGGGTGGGGTCATGTGTGGAGGTCAGAGAAAAGCTTTCAGAAGTTGGATCTCTCCCTCCACCATGTAGACCCTAGGGTTCAAACTCAAGTCCTCAAACTTATCGGCAATCCTCTTTATTCACTGCGCTCTGCTCACTGGTCTACATTCTCGTATAGCTGGGGCTGGCCTCAAACTCAATCTATAGCCAAAGGAGCTACTGAGTTCCTGGTCCTCTTGCCTCTACCTTCCAAGGATGTAGGGGTGCCTTTTGAAAGGCCTCATGTAACCAACCCAGGTTGACCTCAAACTTGATATGTATCTTTATCTCCCAAGTACTGGGATTATATACAGGCTTGGGCTACAAGTTCTCTCTCTCTCTCTCTCTCTCTCTCTCTCTCTCTCTCTCTCTCTCTCTCTCTCTCTCTCTCTCTCTCTCTCTCTCTGTGTGTGTGTGTGTGTGTGTGTGTGTGTGTGTGTGTGTGTGTGTGTGTGTGTGTGTGACGTATCCCAGGCTGGTGGCAATCCTCCAAAGTGATGGCATCACAAAAACACATCTCCCCACCCAACTCAAGGCATGACCCCAGGCCCTTGTACATGCCAGGCAAGTGCTCTGCCACTGAGTTATGTCCGCTGACCCTCTGCATTTTCCTTGTTAGCCCCTTCTTCCCTTTGCTTTTGAAGCTTAAGGGGAGGAAAGGGAAGGGAAACTGCTTATGGCCAAGTGCTGATTCCTCCATCTCACTTCCTACTCCCTCTGGTTTGATGGCAAGCACTACTCACTAGTGGCTTCTCTCCTCAGGACCCCTGCCGATGGTGGACTTGCTGTTTAACCTGGATCGGGTGACTGCCATGGAACACTTACTCAAGTCAGTCTTGCTATACACTCTGAACAACTCAGCTGCTTCTTCCTCTGCTGTGACCTGTGTGTGGGACCTCATGGTAAAGGAGCCCATGCCTTCTGGCAAGGCGCCCCCTAGAGTGCCATACACATTTACCTTGAAGAAGCACAGATGGATTGAGATGGATGTGACCTCCCTCCTTCAGCCTCTGGTGGCCTCCAGCGAGAGAAGCATTCACATGTCTGTCAATTTTACATGCACGAAAGACCAGGCCCCAGAGGACGCTGTGTTTAGCATGCCTCTGTCAGTGCCCCCCTCGCTCATCTTGTATCTCAATGACACCAGCGCTCAGGCCTATCATTCATGGCACTCTCTTCACTCCACCTGGAGGCCTTCACAGCATCCTGGCCAGGACAGTGCGACTGCTCATCCTGTGAAAGAGGAGGCTGTGGAGGTCGAAAGATCTGCCCGGCACCGTCGAGGACAGAAAGCTGTCAGCTTAGCAACCAAGAAGCCACATCTTACAGCATCCTTCAATCTCAGTGAATACTTCAAACAGTTTCTTTTTCCCCAAAATGAGTGTGAACTCCATGACTTCAGACTGAGTTTTAGTCAGCTCAAATGGGACAACTGGATCGTGGCCCCACACAGATACAACCCTAGGTACTGTAAAGGGGACTGTCCCAGGGCGGTCAGGCATCGGTATGGCTCTCCGGTGCACACCATGGTCCAGAATATCATCTATGAGAAGCTGGACCCCTCGGTGCCAAGGCCTTCATGTGTGCCTGGCAAATACAGCCCCTTGAGCGTGTTGACCATTGAACCTGATGGCTCCATTGCTTATAAAGAATACGAAGATATGATAGCCACTAGGTGCACCTGTCGTTAGCATGGACCCTCTACACCAACACCCTGAAACCGTCTGACAGAGCAAGCCTGTAGGCTTTGGCATGCCTGGGCAGAGAGTGTCATGTGACCAGTCACCCGTGTCACTCAGTGCACATTGTGTGAGGGGGGAGTGTGTGGATGAGTGTGCTGTGTGTAGCATCTCTGGTGGTAAATGACACACACTGGTTGTTGCCACAAACCAAGTGAAATGTTTGTTTGGAGGTCTTCCTTTTTCTTCTCTTGTGGTCATAAGTCTTGAGTGGAAATGTAGCTGTGAACACTTTAGAGTGCTGTGGTTTTATGTAACAGATGAATAAATACATTCCTGTTGGTGGCATAAATTGTGTGTGTTCTACTAAACAGGGTTTCTCTATGAACTCATTCTGTAGACCAGACTGGCCTTGAACAAATCTGCCTGCCTTCACCTCCAGAGTGCTGAGATTAAAGGCAGATACCAGCCCTTCTGGCTAAAAAGATCACTTTCCTATGATGGTTGGAGGATGACAGAAGGCGTTTCTCATAGCCAGCCTTGGCTTGACTTTGGCTCTTTTTCAGAGGGGGGGTGAGCTTCATCGCTGAATCCTGATGAAAACAGAGTCCATAAGACTGTGGGTAGGATGGATGGGCAGTGTCCCCTGAGCATGACTTGGATGAGCGTTATGTTAATTTAACTCATGACTGGCTTATGGCAATCAGTTGAGTCACATAAAAATGTGTCCCATTCATTTAAGGGAAATTGGCTTTCTGGGTTTTCCATGAAAACCTATATTAACATTGGGGAGGGGGGACAGGGTCTCATGATGTAGTTCTGTGTAGACCAGGATGGTCTCAAACTTGGAATCAGCCTCCTAAGTGCTGGGACCACAGGAGTGCGTCACTGTGCCTGGCTTCAGTGTTTTGTCTACATGTACATCTGTGTGAAACTGTCAGATCCCCTGGAACTGGAGTTGCAGACAGTTATGAGCTGCCATGTGAGTGCCGGGAATTGAACCAGGTCCTTTGGAAGTACAGCTAGTGTTCTTAACCACTGAGCCATCTCTCCAGCCCCAATGTTCAAATAAGAAATACTTTGTTCTTTCATAATTTTATATATAAGTATAATGTATACCCTAAGCACTGGTTCTACTTTGGTTAGGGTATTTTTTTGGTTGTGTGAGATAGGTCCCATGTAACCCAGGTTAGTCTCAAAATCACTATGTAGCCCCAGGTTACCTTAAACTCCTGCTCCTTCTGCCTCTGTCTCAGGTGTTGAGATCATAGGCATATGCATTAAAGATTTTTTAATGTGTTTACTGTGTATGTAGGGTGTATGTGTGTGAGCCACAGTGCACATGCAGGGATCAGAGGATAATTTCTCTTCCCACCTTCATGTGGGTTCTGGAACATGAACTTGTGTCTTCAGTCATGCACAACAAGTCCTTTATCTTCTGAACCTCTCACCAGCTCTGGGTTGAAGATTTTAAAAGTATTTTCATCTGCACATTTTTAAAACTTCTAGCCTGACAGAAGGAAGCCACGACAGTTTCAAGTTATTGCTTTTCTTGTTTATTTTGTTTTGATAGTTTACTTTTTGCCAGTCTATCTCCGTTCCTGCCTGGCCTTCTTCCAGGAGGGCTCAGTCCTGTTCCTATGGAGTGAGACCAGCAGTGACTGGTCTACTACTGTTTTTATTTGGATCCCCGGGGGTTTTGTGGGGCTTTCATTATGAAAGTGACTTAGATGTACTGATTTCTAAACATTTTTTTAGATTATGTTTCTGAGTGCTTTGCCTGTGTATTTACATGCACCACACGCATGCCTGGTGCATGCTGAGTTCAGAAGGTGATGAGTCTCCTGGACCTGGATTACTTGGTTATGAGCCAACGTGTGGAAGCTGGGAGCCTCTGCAGGAGCATCAAGGACGAGGGAGCCATTCATCTCTCTAGCCCCACATACTTAATTTTCTTTTTAGCTATTTCTATTTTATGTGTTCCAGCCCCATTTTTGTTACTGGGATACTAATACAAATCCAGTCTGTTTTGTTTCTCTTGGAAATATCCCTAGGAGAATTGCTGGCTTATGTATTCTGTCTCCTTTTGTTTTTGAGAAGTCAGGGTCTCATTATGTAGCCCTGGCTGGCCTTAAACTCAGAGATACCCATGCCTCTGCCTGGAAAACTAAAGGTGTGTGCCACCATATCTAATGTAAACCACACCAGTCTCAAACTTAGGATCTTCCTCCTTCAGCTTTCCAATGCTAGAACATAAGTGTAAACTGCCATGAAGCTATAAAATATCTCTTTGAGGGGCATGATAGATGACTCAGCAGTTAAAAGCACTGGCTGCTCTTCCAGAGGTCTTGAGTTCAATTCCCAGCAGCTACATGGTGGCTCACAACCATCTATAATGGGATCTGATGCCCTCTTTGAGCATAAAGTCATACATGCAGATAGGGCACATACATAAATAAATCTTTTCAGGGCAGTGGTGGCTAACCCTTTTAATCCTAGCACTCAGAAGGCAGAGGCAGGAGGATCTCTGAGTTACAGGTCAGCCTGGTCTACTGAGTGAGTTCCAGGACAGCCTCCACGCTATACAGAGAAACCCTGTCTCAAGGGGGAAAAAAGACTCTTAGCCATTTGAGGTGTATGCTACTGTGCATCTGTACAGTGTCTCTTTAGCCACTTGGGGATGTGCAGGGCTATTTCCCCAAGCAGCCACAGAAGTGTAGGAAGGCCTTGCTGTCCCTGCATCCTCTTATTCTGGCATCATCATCATTATTATTATTATTCCAGCCAGAGGCACATGAAACAGTATCTCAGTGTGGTTTGGGTTAGCATCCTCCTAAAGACAATAATGTTGGAGTATCATTAGCAGGTATCTTCTCTGGGATTGGAGAGACTGCTGAACAGAGAGCTCATATTGCTCTTCCAGAAGACCTAGGTTCAATTCCCAGCACCCGTGTGGGTTTGCTCACAGTCATCTGTACATCCAGGGGATGCAACAGACACTTGTGATTAAAAAGAAAACCTTAAAAAGAAATGTCAGGTTGGTTTCAGGTCCCTTACCTCTTTTTTTTTTTTTTTTTTTTTTTTTTTTTTTTTTTGGTTTTCTCGAGACAGGGTTTCTCTGTGGCTTTGGAGGCTGTTCTGGAACTCGCTCTGTAGACCAGGCTGGCCTCGAACTCACAGAGATCCGCCTGCCTCTGCCTCCCGAGTGCTGGGATTAAAGGCGTGCGCCACCAACACCCGGCTCCCTTACCTCTTTCTAATTGGATCATTTGCGTTTCTTTTATGAGTTGAATTCTTTATATATTCAAAGTACAGGTTCCAAAAGTTTTCCCGTTCTATGGGTTGTCTTTTCACTTAAATTTAAAAAGTAAATCTTTGTTTTGTTGTTTTTTGTTTTTTCATTCTCAGAGAAGCCAGAAGAGGGTGCTGGATAACCCTGGAGCTGGAATTCCCACCATGTGAGTGCTGGGATCTGAACTCAGGTCCTCTGAAACAGCAACCAGTACACTTAACTGCTGAATCATCTCTCCAGCCCTTGTCTTTTCACTTTTTATTTAATTGTTTTGTTGTTTTGGAGATAGGATCTTTCTACAGGACCCTGGCTGTCCTGGAACTCACTTTGTAGACCAGGCTAGCCTTGAAATCAGAGATCCACCTGCCTCTGCCTCCTGAGTCCTGGGATTAAAGGCATATACCACCTATGTGTGACTATATTTTTTTAAAGTCATCTTTACATGGCACACATATTTAATTCAGCTCTCAGATGGCAGATCTCTGTGAGTCTGATACCAACTTGGTCTACACAGTGAGTTTCAGGCCAGCCAGAGTTACATATTGAGACCCTGTTTCCAAAAAATACATTTCCTCATTGTGCGCAGGCACATGTGCGTGGGGCTGCACATGCCACGGTGGGTGTGGAGGTCAGAGGGTAACTTTCAGGAACTGATTCTCTCCTACATTGTGGGTTCCAGGGTTCGAATCAAGGGTTGTCAGATTTGATGACGGGTACCTTCACCTGCCAAGCCACCTTACCGGCCCTCCTCTCACTTTGTGTGTGTGTGTGTGTGTGTGTGTGTGTGTGTGTGTGTGTGTGTGTGTGTGTGAAAATACGTATGTCATCACACTTTCCCACATTGTCCCTATTTAAGTGTGTGGGTCAGTGGCGTGAACTGGCATTCACAAGGCTGCCTAGCCAGTGCTGCCACCACTTCCAGAAGCTTTTCTTCAAACTGAACAAACATCACTCATGAAGTGCTAACCTGCCCTGGTAAGTCGCATTCTATGCTGTCTATGAATTAGCCTCATCCAGGATCTCCTACACGTGTTCTCATTCAGGACTCATTCTTAGGTGTCTGTCTTATTTTACTAAGTGTAATATTTTCAGTGTATTATGGATCAACACTTTAAGGCAGAAAGGGGAGTTGAGACAGGGTCTCATGTAGCCCAGGCTGGCCTCCAACTCACAATCTTCTTGCCTCAGCCTAGTTCAAATTTATCCTAGGTTGCCTAGTGAATTTGAGGACAACCTGGCCTACATGAGACCCTCTGTTGAAACGACAAAATTAGAATTCACTTGTAAATGTCGTTTTGTTCCTCTCCTAGGGCAGTGTGACTCTCTAGGGCTGTTAACAGCTCCTAACTTTATAAACCTCCAAGTTTCTCATACATTGGAGGGGTGACACTTCCCTCCCTCCCCCATGCTAGCCCTGCTTTAGTTACTCTTTTAAAAGCCACAACTTTAGAACACAGATGAGAACGGACATTGCAGATTCAAATCTGAAATTCAAGGAGGAAGCTTCGACTGCCTTAAATAGATGCCTTGGGCTTTGGTATTTAGTCCAGATGAGATAAACGGTCACCTCACTGTGCTCACTGTGCCGAGGGCCTCGGAAGGCAGAGGGGACAATGCTCAGGGATGGAGCTGCTGTTACCTCCAGTTTCCTGCTCTTATCAGTGTGTGAATGCTTTGTGTCAGCTGGAAGGGCAGCGGCTACTCTCCTCGGTTTAGGGCTCATTGCAGACAGCCTGGGGGGGAAGCAAGGCTGCTCTTTGTGGGGAGGGGGAAAGGGGAAAGTGCTCAGTTACATAGAGAAGGGGAACCGGCTTGGCAAAGAGATGTGGCTTCTCTAAACATTTCTGTAAGCATCTTCCCTTTTAAAATATTTTTAACTTTTTAAAATATTTTTACTTATTTGGGTTTTTTTGAGACAGGGATTCATGTAGCCCAGACTTGGCCTGGAAGTCCCTCTATGGCCAAAGATGCCCTTTAATACTCATGCCTCTCCCTCCCAAGTGCTAGGATTACAGACGTGTAATCCTCACACTGGACTGCATATTAAATATTGTTGCCATTCGTGGTGTTGCAGTCCTTTAATCCCAACACTCAGAAGACAGAGGCAAGCAAATCTGAGTTTGAGGCTAGCCTGGTCCACAGAGTGAGTTCCAGGACAGCCAGGGCTACACAGAGAAACCCTGTCTTAAAAAAAAAATTAAGGCACAGTGGCATAGTAAGAGATGAGCAATAATTTATAGTAAAATAGAACCAGGTTTGTTTGTTTGTTTGTTTTTCAAGACAGGGCTTCTCTGTGTGTAACAGTCCTGACTGTCCTGGAACTCACTTTGTAGATCAGGTTGGCCTCGAATTCACAGAGATCTGCTTGCCTCTGCCTCTTGAGTTCTGGGATTAAAGGTGTGAGTCACCATACCCAGTCAAGAACCCAGGTTCTTTTTTTTGTGGGGGGAGGGTGTTTTGAGACAGGGTTTCTCTGTGGCTTTGGAGGCTGTCCTGGAACTAGCTCTTGTAGACCTGGCTGATCTCAAACTCACAGAGATCTGCCTGCCTCTGCCTCTTGAGTGCTGGGATTAAAGGCATGCACCACCACCGTCAGGCAAGAACCCAGGTTCTATTCCCAGCATCCACATGGCACCTCAAACCATCTGTAACTCCAGTTCTAGGGGATTCAATGCCCTTTTCTGGACATGTGGTACATGGACATACATGTAGGTAAAACACCCATACACATAAAATAGAAATAAATCTCAAAAGAATGTTCAAAAATAGAATTATAACTATATTCTGTACTAGCAATGTGAACCATTCTGTCTCAGGTGCCAGTTCAGTTAATCGTTCTGTCCCAATGTTCTTTCCCCTGACAAATGCTTACTTAGTCACAGTTCTAAAGAGCAAGAGAAGCAGGGAATGCAGTCAGATCTAAGAAGCTACCGGGTGTCTCCTTTAAGAGAAGAATCACGTGCTAAGGTTGCTAAGACCCATGGTTAAAACAAATCTTCCATATACAAAATTGCAAAGAAGGAGAAAGTCATGCTGATTTTCTGTTTGGGGGTTTTGTGTGTACAGGTATGGTGGCTCAAGGTCAGTGCTGGGTATCTTCTGTCCCTATCTGTCTTCAGAGACAAGGTCTTCTACTGAACCTGGAGCTTCTGATTAAGAGGCACTGGCTGTCCAGGAGCTCCAGGGAGCCACCTGTTTCTGCCCTTGTTCCAGCTTTGGGATTACAGGGGTGGGCCACCGAGCCTGGCTCTTCACACAGATGCTGGGGATGGAATTCAGGTCCTCAGACTTACACAACAAGTACTTTACTGTCTGAGCCATCTTTCCAAATCCTGGTTTGTTTGTCTTTGTTGTTTTGTTTTGTTTTTTTTTTCAAGACAGTTTCTCTGTGTAGCCCTGGATGTCCTGGAACTCAATGTGTAGACGAGGCTGGCTTCAAAATCAGAGATCTGCCTGCCTCTGCCTCCTGAGTGCTAGGATTAAAGGTGTGTGCCACCACTACCTGGTCTCGTGTGTGTGTGTGTGTGTGTGTGTGTGTGTGTGTGTGTGTGTGTGTGTTTGAGATCAGTCTAGCTCTAAAGTTCAGGCTGCCCTGGGACTCACTATGTAGTTTAGTTTATGTCCTGGGACCCATTATGTAGTTTAGTTTAGGCTGGCCTCTAACCGTGGTCTCTGGCCCCTTCCCCTGCAAGAGCTAGGATTACATTGGTGCCTCCCACCTTTAATTGATGTCAATTTTGCTACTTTACTGACTTGAGGTCACTGAAACTGAAGAAAACCAAACTGTGTCTAAAGAGGATGATAGAGTTACCCAACATGCACAGGGCCTATTCTCTACAACACATAAACTACATGTGATGGCTCACACCTATAATCCCAGCATTTGTGGAGTAGAGGCAAAGTTCAGAAGTGCAAGGTCATCTTTGGCTACACAGTGATTTCAAGGCCAGCATGGGAATACATGAGACCCTATATTTCAGAGGGAGAGATGGTTCAACAGTTAGGAGCACTTGCTGCTTTTTCGGAGGACGTGAGATTGGTTCCCAGAACCTACATCAGGTGGCTTACAACCACATGAAACTCCGGGTCTAGGGGATCCAATGCCTTCTTCTGGCTCCTGAGGGCACCCACAGACATGTGGCACATGCCCACACAAAGATACACACATGCATAAATAATTTTTTTCTCTTGAAGGAGGATTCACTGTATTAGTCAATCTTTTGTTAATAAGACCAATATTATTTGTGTCTATCAGGAGAGAAAGATTTAAAATGTTATGTGGTACAGGAGTTTGACTTGTCTTTGCACCATATGTGTATAGTGCCTGCAGAGACCAGGAGAGGGTGTTGGGTCCCCTGGAATTGGAGTCACAGATGGTTGTGAGCCACCATGTGGGCGCTGGGAATCAAACCCAGGTCCTCTGGAAGAGCAGTAAGTGCTCATAGCCATGGAGACGCCGCTCCAAACCCCTCCAGCAAGATTTTTGTGGATGGCCCAACACAGTATTTCTTTGTCCTACTTTAATGCATAATGCAATTTTCATCAAGTAATTGAATAAATTAGACGTGAAGGCCAGGGTCAGCTGTGTGTTTCAGGCATCTATTGCTTTAAGAATAAGAGCTTTGTGAATGGCTTAGCCATTTATAAATCGCTTTGGTGCTGGTGTCTCTCCATGTCCAACTGTTATAACAGGAAGTGTTACAAGTTCTTTACAGACTGTGCTTGGCTGGCATCTTGGCTCTCTCAGAAGCAATGAGCTCACTGAATAAATATTTATTGAACACTGACTGCCGGCTAGGTGCCATGCACGGTGAAGAACAGAGTCCAGTGTTCTCAGCTCCAATAAAATCATGCCACCTTCCTTTGTCACTCCAAGTTCCTTCAGCAGAGGAATGTCCATCAGGGTGATCCTACATGAGCAGGCTGAAGGAAGACTAAAGTGTCTCACTTGGGATTAGATTTTCTCAAACGGAAACTTAGAGATGACATATGTTCATAGGTAATTGTGAACAATAACGAAGAGAAGAGCCAAACTTGGTGGTGCACGCCTCTCACCCCATAACTGGGGAGGCAGAGGTTGACAGATCTGAGTTACTCGCTGAAATCCTGTGTCAGAAAGCAGATAATGCACAGAGGTCCCATGAATCCTCTGTGCCGTCCCTTTGATAAGAAACTGCGCAGAGCTGTAGCAGAAGCCTGGACAAGTAAAGCACTTGTCTTGAAAGCATGAGTTCAATCCCCAGAACACAGATTAAAGAAAAAAAAAAAAGGTCAAGCAGAATGGAGCTCAGTCGTAAACCAGCTCCAGGGAGGAGGAGACAGGTGGACCTCTGGCAGCTTAGCTTCCTTGGTGAGTTCCTTACCAGGAGGACACCCTGTCTCAAGAAGAGTGGCACCTGAAAAATGGCAGCCAAGGTTGTCTTCTGCACTCACCACACAGGCACACATATGTGTGGGCACATAGCTATGACATTATACAGCCAGGAGACTGACACTGCTGGAATGAGGTCTTCCAGACTGGAACCCACCAGGAGGCTGGGGGTAAGGGTCAGTGGGGCTAGTGCTTGCCTAGCGTGCTCAGAGCCCTGGGTTCCATCTCTAGCACTCATAGACTGGGTGTCATGGCACATGTATTTGCCATCATCTTAGTGCTGTCACCCTTAGCTACCCCGTGAGTCTGGTTAGCCTAAGGAGAATGGACCCTGCCCCCTGCAACCTGCTGATCTCAACATGAATAGAATGCTATCTATAGTCTTTGCAGAAATTTACAAAATGGTTCACTTTATTTCCTATATATACCTACCTCTTTGCCTGTGAATTTTAAGCCTTTTGATCTCTCGTCTTTCTAATGCTATCACAATAAGGAATGATAAATATTTGAGAAATGATATAAGCTTAACCTGATATGAACATTATATAATTTATTATTAACACATTATTCAATATAACCCATTCATGTATCAGAACATCACATACCAGGACTGGTGAGGTGTCTCAGTGGGCCAAGGAGCCTGCCACCAAAACCCAACAATTCGAGTTCCATCTCTGAAACCCATGTAGTAGGAGAGAAATGATTCCCCCAGTTTGTATTCGGACCTCCACAAACATGCTGTGGCACACATTCACAAATAAATGTAAAAATAGGCAAACAGTACCCATAAACAGATACAATTTTCAAGCACATGTTAAACTAAATCTAATTTTAAAAATAAAATCTTGCCCTGGGCAGAGGTGGTGCACGCCTATGATCGACTCCCAGCACTAGGTAGGCAGAGAGAGGTGGATCTCTGTGAGTTTGAGGCCAGCCTGGTCTACAGAGCAAGTTCCAGGACAGCCAGGGCTACACAGAGAAGCATTGTCTTGAAAAACCATAAAATAAAATCTTGAACTGGAGATGGTGGCACACGCCTTTAATCCCAGCACTCAGGAGGCAGGGGCAGGTAGATCTCTGAGTTTGAGTCCAGCTTGGTTTACAGAGGGACAGTTAGGGCTACAATTGGAGAAACCCTATCTTTGTTTTGTTTTTCTTTTGGGGGGCTTGTTTTGTTTTTTGTTTTTCAAGTCAGGGTTTCTCTGTATAACATCTCTGGCTGTCCTGGAACACCCTCTGTAAACCAAGTTATCTCAGTACTCAAAGTGCTTGCCAAGCAAGATTGAAGACCAGAGTTTGGATCCCCAGAAACCTACATAAAATCCTGAGAAAGCAGTAGCCATGACTCCAGCCTTAGAAAGCAGAGACAAGGGATCCTCAGAGCAAGTTGGCCATTAAGACTAGCTCTGACTTTGATTGAGATATCCTGCCTCAGTGAATAAGGTAAAAGTGATTGAGGATAGCTCTTGACATTAACCTCCAGGCCTGTACATGTACTAGACCACACACTCTCTTACTCATGTTCTCTCACACATGCAAAAAACCACACCCATGCATGCTCAGATGTGCATATCACAAACACACACACACACACACACACACACAGAGAGAGAGAGAGAGAGAGAGAGAGAGAGAGAGAGAGAGAGAGAGGTGAAGGGGAGGCTGCTGCCCAGCTCCCACAACATTCTCCAGAAAGGCCTGTGTTCAACTTTGTAAGTCAGTGCAGGATTGCACAAACCATCAGCGTCGCAAGTTTGCATTGTGTCCCTGCCCTTGACCAGCGCCTGTGCAATGTGTGTAAAGGGCTGAAGGACACAAAGGTGAGAGTCTTAGGATTGACGGAACGCATGTTGAGCACTTCCGGAGCCTGAAGGGCCCGTGACTCCACATCATCAGCAAATGTGACTCCCAGAAGACCAAGGCTTGCTCCCTGGCTACGCACACACACTGTCACGTGATAAGCTCCACAGTAGCACAGGTCCCAGGGAGGAGGCGAGCTAAAGGTACCAGCTTTGGGGACCCTGGCTATAACTTGGGACAAACGAGTTAAACTCTCTGAATTCTTTCACATTTCATAAGATGTTAATGTCAGTTTCATGGGGTTGTATAAGAATTCTATGAGCCTTTGCATGTAAAGTGCTCAGAGCAGCTAGGCCTGTAAATCCCAGTCACTTAGGACACTGAGGCAGGAATGTGGCAAGTTCATGGCCTGCCTGACCAACTTATCAAGACCTTATCTTAGAGAGTTTTTTTCCTTTCCCCCTTTAATCTCTTATAGCCTCCATTAAAAATTATTTTTATTTGTGTGTGTGTGTGTGTGTGAGTGTGTACACTTGTCTGTATGTGCACTGCATGCATGCAGGCATTCAGCCCATTGTAAGTATTTCACAGGCACTGGGTCAAGGGGGCACAAACACAGAGCAAACACAGCGTGTGGCGGTGCTGGTGGTTTGTGCAATCATGCCCCGATTTGCCAAGTTGCAGCACGGACTTTCCCGGACAGAAGCAAGAAGGCAGAGTAGGAACCAACGGAGCCCGAGTTACAGGTAGTGAGTGAGCTGTCCAGTGTGGATGCTAGGAAATGAATCTGAGTCCCCTGTGAGAGTAGGCAATGTTTTTAACCACTGAGCCGTCTCTCCAGCCCTCTGCCATGTAGTTTTCACAGCAAGGAGAATAAGCTAACATAATGTGGATATGTTTTGTATATGGCCTCAAACTTTCCATGCAGCCGAGGATGACCTTGAACTTCAGATTCTCCTGCCTCTGTTTCTTAAGTGCTGGGTTACTGGCATATGCTATCATGTCCAGTTTTATGCTATGCTGAGGATCAAACCCAGGGTCTTTAATTTTACCTGGGGTGTGTGTGTGTGTGTGTGTGTGTGTGTGTGTGTGTGTGTGTGTGTATCGCTGTGGACTAAGCCCAGGACTTCGTATACACTAGATAAACATTGAGTTACATTCCCAGCCCTTTACTTTTTCAAATATTCCTATTAGTTCAGTTGAATATACATATACAGCCCTATCATATTTCACTAAGACTACACAGTATCACATTTCCATCTGATGTCACTGTAAACACTCTGCTGACCCCCTGACAGCAGCTTCTAAGGTGTACACATTCTACATTCCTTGTTATCCCAGTACATTCCCCTTCTCTTGAGTCAGCTTTCTTTATCAAATGAAAATACTCAAACATGGAACCAGGCAGATAGATCTCTGTGGGCTCCAGGCCAGCCAGTGCTACATAGTGAGACCCTTGACTCAGAACTCCACTAACAGTGGCTGGAAGACAGATCAGTCAGCAAAGTGTCCTGAGAGGGGATTCCCAGCACTCAAGGAATGTTTCTTTTCTTTTCTTTTTTTTTATTTCAGACAGCGAAAGATGGTTTATTGTACACGGGTCACACTTGGGCAGTGACAACAGCGAGTCCGGGACGCGGCAGCCAGCGGGAGTCGGGGCTGGAGGTTGGAGGAAGGCTGCAGTCCCGGGTGTCCGGAGGCGGCATCTCGGCGAGCACACGGCGAGGTTCAGGTCCACGCAGTCTCAACCGGCGGCAGCGCAGCACCGACAGCTTGCTTGCAGCGGCCCCCGGCATCCTCCCCTCCCGCGGGCTCGCGGGCGGCCTCCCCGCCGGCTCACTTGGACCTCTGCCGCATCTTTCTTCTCTTGCGCTTCAGCCTGCGCATTCGCTTCTTCCTCCACTTGGCTCTCATGGCGCAGGGGTCCCAAGGAAGATGGCGCTAAGGCCGAGACTCAAGGAATGTTTCTAATCCCAGCACTGGGGAGGTAGGGACGGCAGGGTCACTCTCGCTTGCTGGCCAGCTCAGCTAGTTGAATCAGTGAGCTCTCCCAGAGGTTTTGAGTTTGGTTCCCAGGACCCACATAGTGCAATCTGAACTCCCATTTCCACAGGGTCCAGCTCTCTCTTCTGACTTCTCTAAGCACCATCATGCATGTAGTGCACATACATTCATGGAGGCAAAACACTCATACACATATAATAGAATAAATTTATCTTTTACAAAAAAAAAGTAGGCAGGGGGTGGTGGTGCACACCGTTAATCCCAGCACTCGGGAGGCAGAGGCAGGCGGATCTCTGTGAGTTCGAGGCCAGCCTGGTTTACAGAGCAAGTGCCAGGATAGGCTCCAAAGCTACACAGAGAAATCCTGTATCGGGAAAGAAAAAAAAGTTTGTTCCCAGGGCTGAAGGGATGACTCAACAATTAAGAACATTCACTGGCTGCTTTTCCAGAGGACATGGGTTCAATCCCAAGCACCTACATGGTGACTCACAAGTGGTCTTTAACTTCAATTCCAGGGGATCCGATGCCTTATTCTGACCTCCAAGGGCACCAGGCAGATACATTCGGCATAGGCATACATGCAGGCAAAGCACCCATATTCATAAAATAAAATAAAAATTGAAAAACTGTGATCCCAGGCAGGTATACTAGCACATGCCTTTAATCCCAGCAAGGGGGAGTCAGAGGCAGGCAAATCTCTGTGAGTTCAAGGCCAGCCTGGTCTACATAGTGAGTTCCAGGACAGCCAGATCTACATAGTGAGATATCCTGTCTCAAAATAGTAGATAGATAGATAGATAGATAGATAGATAGATAGATAGACAGACAGACAGACAAATAAGTGGAACCAGGGAGGCAAAGTGGTGTATTCCTTTAATCCGAGCACTTGAGAGGTAGAAGCAGGTCAATCTCCACTACTCCAAAGCTAGCCTGGTCTACATGTTAAGTTCATAGTGAGACCCTGTCTCAACAACAACAATAAAACTAATAACTAACTGATTTTTAAAAGCATATTCCCCTTCAGGGCTGAAGAGTCTGCCCATGGGTGGAGCCACTAGGCTTTCCATAGTGACTGGTGCCAAGGGCAGAGAACTTACGGGTAATGGCTCCCAGTGGAGAGAAAGCTGATGTTGATGTTTTGGGGGGTGCTGTTGGGACATGTGTCTTCTGCTCCTCATATTCACTATCCGTCCACGGCCCTTGATAGTTGCTTGCTGGTTAAATAGCTCATATATTTAATCCAGTCACTTCTTCTTAGTGCCTAAAACACTGTATGGGCTTCCTTCAATGGTCTGTGTGATACATGCAGGCAGGTACAATATGCCTATCATAGCTTCTTAGAGGCCAAAGCCACCTTTGCAATGTTGTTACCAACTGGGAACTCACAGATGAAGCCCTTCTGGTGGGGCTGTGTTCCACACACATTCATGCAGCAAGTATAGATCCTGTCTCTGAGCCTATTCCTGCTGGACATGACTATTGTCCTTTGAAGTGTTTTCTAACAAGACAGACAACTGGATGAACGACCATGTGGTCTCCAATGTGGCAGTATTACTTCCTTTCTTATTACTATGATAAAAGGGGCTGGAGCGATGGCTCAGCGGTGAAGAGCACTGGCTGCTCTTCCAGAGGACCTGGGTTCAATTCCCAGCACCCACATGGCAGCTTACAACTGTCTGTAACTCCAGTTCTAGGAGATCTGACACCCTCACACAGAATATATACAGGAAAAATACCAGAGTTCATTAAATAAGTCTTTAAAAAATACCTGACAAATGCAATATAGAAAGAAAAAGTTTATTCTGCCTCACAGTTCAAGGGGATCCATTCCATGCTAGCCAAAAGGCTTGGTGGCAGGAAGTGACTTGTCACATTTCCTCCCCAGTCAAGAATCAGAGAGAGATTAGGAAGTAGGGGTTGGGCTATAAAAGCTCCAAAGGTGCCCCATGACCTACTTCCTCCAGCAAGGCTCCACTCCTAAGGGTTCCACAACCTTCCCCAACAATGCCACCACCCTGGGAGCAAGTGTTCCAATACCTGAGCCTGTGGGGACAGTTCACATTTAAACCGTAGAGGAGTCAGGGGGAATAGGGAGCAGAGGCTCCTACTTAGGGGTCTGGAGAAAGAATCCACTGAGGAGGGGAAGCTTGACTGGGGAATTGTGTAACTCAGTGTCATGATTGGTCATTACCAGCACCATTTGTGATAGAGGAGGGAAGGAAAAAGGAAGTTTAGCCCACAGCCAGGCCAAGCAGCTATGGGATGGGAGCCTGTCATGCTGAGTCTCTAAACAGGCCCACCCTGGCCGACACCAGCTTAGTCTCTGGGCTCACGTCAGTGTGAGAAGAAAAAGCAGAATCTGAGTTAACCTTCCTTGGTGCATGGGTAGGAAAAAGCAAGCATTGGCCACATTTTCTTGCCTTTGAATTTTGTGTTTATCAAGGGAAATCTTGTTTTCATTTTTTATAGCCTGTGTTTATGACTGTGAACCAGGAACTTGACCTCCTGGTGTTCTGCTGGCCCCCTGCTTTATCCTGTTTCCTGAGCTGCATGTTTTGAGGTTGTGTAAGAATCTTAAAGGGTTTGCAGCCACATCAAAGGGCAGGAAACCTACCTGAACCCCAAGGCTGCTGGGGCACATCCCTCCCTCTGGTGCGGTTTCCCCGCAGGGAATCCATAGCTCTACACACCACGACCTGGCTCATGTTCCTCCTCCCAACACAGGCATCAGAAGTCTTAATTCCACACAAGAAACATCATAGTTCGAAGCGTAGCCACCGGCTCTGCCAGTCCCATTCCCAGAAGGAATGTGTTACTCGTATTCTGGTGGCTCACAGAATTTACCAAAAGGCTAGAGACCCAGACCATGAAACTAACCAATGACCAAGCACAGCTGTGTAGAAACAGCAGGAGATGAGATCTACTCTGAGAGTGTCTCACTTGTCCCTGCATCACCATGTCACCAAGAGGCCAGAGCATCTTGTTGGCTAGACCTGGATATCAAGGTAGGAGGAGACACTCTGTCCTCATACAATCTATAATCTCTCTAAAAATGAGGTGCTCGGCCCTACTGGTGACCGGGGTGCGGGCAAAGTTGGGCAGTACCCACAGAAGACCCTCTTGTGTAAACCAGTGCCCAGTTGGGACACTGGACTGGGACTGATATTAGCCTATGTAGGGAGTGTACAAACCATTAACTGGTGGCCTACAGTGAGTGTAGAACCGGAGACCTACAGACCTGGAGACCTGGAGATCTGGAGATCTGGAGACTTGCAGACCTGGCTGCATATCCCAGTTCATCTTTGCCCAGCAGGTATGAACGGCTCCCTGTTTTACCAATGAGGAAGTGGAGGTCAGGAATACCGGGATATCTCCGGGGTCAGAGAGCTACTGGCATTCAAATTACGTGTGTTTTTCTGTGACCCTGGCTTTCCTAGCCCTGGGACACTGAGTTGTAGACAAAATGCCTGTTTTGTCCCTGCTGTATCATGAGGAATCAAGGTTGAGCAATGGACTGGTCAGCAGCTCCATCTCTGCCGAGTCTGCATAGCTGAGCTCAATTGCTCTTTGCACCAGAGTTCCCTCAGCGTTTCCCGGTTCATAGACACATTCCCCTTTTGTCTTGCTAGGTGATCTGCCAGGAGAGTCACCAGTGACTTGTAACCTTGTTTTATTTTTTGCTTTTTTCTGTGTGTGCGCGAGGGGCAGGGTGGTGTCTTTGCAACAGGGTCTGTCTATAGAGCTCTGGTTGTCCTGGAATTTACTGTGTAGACCAGGCTGGCTTCAAACTCAGAGGTCAACCTGCCTGTCTCCCAGTCTCTGGGATTAAATGTGTGTGCCAACACCGGGCTTATTTTTTTTCTCTTCTTGAAGCTCAAAAGGTACTAATTAGACTCTCTTTTTCTCTAGATGTGTTGGGGTGTGTGTGTGCTTGTGTGTGTGTGTGTGTGTGTGTGTGTGTGTGTGTGTGTGTGTATGTGTGTGTGTGGTGTTCACAATCACCCCTGGGATGGAAAATCTTAAAAACATTATCTGGAATGTAGGTCTGTTGTGGAGTGCTTGCCTAGCATGCATGACAGCTTGGATTTATTTCCAGTTTAACATAAACTGGGCATGGTAGCTCACTCCTGTAGTCCCAGCACTCAGGAGGCAGAGGATCAGAAGTTCAAAGTCTTCTCTGGCTACATAGAAAGTTCAAGGCCTGCTGTGTGGCGCTTGTCTTTAATCCCAACACTCAGGAGGAAGCAGCAGGCAGATCTGGTCTACCCTGGTCTACAAAGCAAGTTCTAGTACAGACAGAGCTACATAGTGGGACATTGTCTCAAAAAAAAAACAACAAAGAAAATAAAAAGAAAGCCCAAGGCCAGCCTGTGTTGGAGACCATATCTAAAAAAATAAAATAAAAAATAAAAATCCATGTGGACCATGATGGAAGCCAACATATTGGCATCTATGTTTCAGAGTGAAGTCTGACTAACTGCAGACCCTCTGTTAAAAGCAGAAAGGTTTCCCCAGCGAGCCTAGGAGGCTTTATTCATTGTTTCCAGAGCCAACAATCAAAATTCACCCCACAAGGACATGGCATGCTGTCCCGAAGTTCTATGCCAAAGTCCAGCACGCAGTTCTCATGTGCAGCCTCGGACCAGAGCCCCAGAACTGGACTGTTGTTCCTGGTCAACTGGGGCTTCAGCAGACAGAGGCCTGGGAGTTTTTGCTGGAACAGAAGGATGGGATTAGCAGAGGGGCTTTGAGGACATGACCCCATCTTTTTGTAGGTGGGAGTCTGCCCTCTCAGTATATAGATTCTGTGCAGTTCAGATTTGACTTGGTTTTCTCTTTGGGGGGGATGGGGGAGTGGCATTGAGACAAGGTCTCAGTGTAGCCTTGGTTGGCCTAAAACTCAGTATGTAAACCAGGTTGACCTTGAACTCACAGAGATCCACTTGCCTTTGCCTCCTGAGTGTTGGGATTAAAGGTATGGGCCACCACACTAGGCTTCTTTGTTTCTTGTTTTGAAGCAGAGTCTCATGTATTTCATGCAGGCTGGCCTCAAATGTTCTGTAAGTGACCATGAACTCTTGGCCCTCCTGCCTCCTCTTCCAGAACGCTAGGATTACAGGTGGGAGCCACCATGTCCGACTATGTAATCCTGGGAATGGAATCCAGAGCCTCGAGCATGCTAGGCAAGTACTCTACCAACTGAACTACATTCCTCAGCCCACAAATTAGTTTCTAATTTTGAGAACCACAATGAACTGTAGGGGATCTGAGTTTCATCTTGGTGCCAAAAGACAAGGAAGACAAAGTTGGAGCCACTGGAACTAGCAGAAGGCAGAGGCCTGTGCTCATCTGCCCTGTGTGTCTTCTTTTGTGCAAAAGCCTGTAGATAATGCCAGAATGAGGACAGACCAGGAAGATCCCAGGCCTGGGGCTCTGGGTCTGGCTGGAAGAGGAAAGCTGACTGTTACGATCAAATCAAACAGCATCTGTAGGGAAAAGGTCATATGTATGTACTCAGCATGAACCCAGCACTCCTTCTTTGGAGCTGCCAACCAAGCCTCACTCCGATCCTGGCTGTACGTACAACCATGGAGGATGACAAGCTCCAGTCTTCCTCCACTCTCTTCTTAGGTCAAAGCCTTATCTTTGGATAACTTTAGTGAATTGCGTGTGTAATTCAAAAGCAAAGAGACAGTTCAGTGGGTAAAGTGATTGCCATGCAAGCATGATCGCCCAAGTCTGATCACCAGCATCCACATATAAAGCTTTGGTGTGGTGGTTCACACTGGTAATCCCAGTAGTGGAGGGGCAGGGGTCAGCAGATTCCTGGGGTTTTCTAGTCAACCAGCCTGGACTAATCATTGAACCCCAGGACCTAGAGAGAAGCCTTGTCTCAGAAAATAAGAAACCACATCCAAGCTTGATCTCTGACCTCCACATGGACACACACACCCAAGGGCATTTAAAATATATACTAATTTATAAAGAGCACAACTGGGTGTGGTGGTGCATGCCTTTGATCCCAGCACAAGGGAAGGCTCAACAATTAATAGCACTGGCTGCTTTTCCAGAGGACCTGAGTTCAATTCCAGGCACCCACATGGTGACTCACAAGCCATCTATAACTCCAGTCCCAGGGGGATCTGATGCATTTTTCTGGCCTCCATGGGCACCACGGCATATATATGACAGACATACGTGTAGACAAAATACCTATATACAAAATAAAACAAAAATTAAAAAGAATGTGGTCCCAGCCAGGAGTACTGACACATACTTTTAATCCTAGTACATGGGAGGCAGAGGAAGCCAGCCTGGTCTATACAATGAGTTCCAAGACAGCCAGAGCTACACAGAGAAACCCCATCTTGGAAAAACAAACAACAAATGTGTGTGTGTGTGTGTGTGTGTGAGAGAGAGAGAGAGAGAGAGAGAGAGAGAGAGAGAGAGAGAGAGAGAGAGAGAGAGAGAGAGAGCACAAACAGCTGGGTGTGGTGGCTCAGCGCTTAGAAGCTTGTCTGGAGGTTCTAGCCTGTTAGTGCAACTGCTCATAGCCTTGATCAAAGCTTGTCCCCCCACCTGTGTGAGGAAGGGACATACATGAGGAAGGGAACATCTGCCAGCTAAATCAGCTGAGTCAACTCTGGTGATCAATGGTGTGACGGATGTCACAGCCAATTGCCCTCACATCCGTGGTTTAGCACTTGGGAAGCTGAGGCATGAAAATTGTGAAATCAAGGCCAACAAGGTCCTGGGACTGTTTCTCAAATGAGACAAAGAGTAAACATATTTGCCCCGAAGAAGTATTTACAGTTTAAGTAGCTACTTGGATATAAACAATGATTCATGTTTTGTTAGAATTTCAAAAATAGGCATTTGGCAGGAGAGATGGTTCAGATGTTAAGATCATGTACTGCTGTTCCAGAGGACCCAGGTTCAGTTCCCATCACCCACATCAATCATTTTACAACTGCTGCATCTCCAGCTCCTGTCTGATGCCATCTTTTGGCCACTGTGGGCATTGAACTCACACCATTCACACAAATATCCACGTAGTTACAAAATAAAAAGTATAGACAACATGATTTTGTTGAACTATTTCTGGATTGCTTTCTGTTGTTGTTTGAGTTTTGAGGCAGGCTTTCATGCAGCCCAGGCTGGCCTCAAATTCACTATGTAGCTGAGACTGGCCTTGAACTCCTCATCCACTGACTCCACCTCCTGAGTGCTGGAGTCACATGTAACTTTTAAAAAGTGGCTCAGCTGGAGAAAGACAGAAGCCATTAGACAGATTTCAAACAGAGGAGTTTTTTTATTAAGAGAAAGGGGTCATAAAAGGGGGAAAGGAGAAAGGGGAGACTGGCCTCCAGGGACAGGTGCAGCAGGAGAGAGGAAAGAGAGGCAGAGAGAGAGAGAAACAGAGAGGGAGGGGAAGAAAGAGGGAGGGGTGGGGTGAGAGGTGGGCAGGGCCCTTTGAAAAGGAACACAGTGAATAAGTACAGGTGTGCTCTTCATGGCTGCATGGGGGTGTATCCTGTCAGAACCTCAAAGGCAGGCAAGTGCAAATGCCTAAAAACTAATGGCACAGTTGTGCACCACCATGCCTGTTAAAAAGGCCTTTCTTTTTACAGTGCAGATGACAAGTGCCCAATCCAAGGCTCCTCTCAGTCTCTCTCTCTCTCTCTCTCTCTCTCTCTCTCTCTCTCTCTCTCTCTCTCTCTCTCTCTCTCTCTTTGTGTGTGTGTGTGTGTGTATGTGTGTGTGTGTGTGTGTGTGTGTGTGTATACATATACATAAGGTGGGCTAGAGAGATGGATGAGTGGTTGGGAGCGCTCGCTGCCCTAACAGAGAACCTAGGTTTGGTTCCCAGCTTCCACATGCCAGCTCACTACTGTCTATAACACTAGTTCCAGGTCAGCCTGGGCCATGGAAGGAAACCCTGTCTCATAAAAATGAAAGTCTGGTTGTCTCTACTGTTCTGTGGCTTAGTACTTTCGGAGGCTTGGGAGAGTTCTTCTCCAGAGCACCCAGACTTAGCCTAGGTTAGAGTCACAGAGCTTGCTGACCAAAAAGCTGATGGGTGGATGATGGGACCATGGTCGGTGTGTGTGCTTGGCATGCAAGCATGAGTAGCTGCATGCTTGCATCACACACACACACACACACACACACACATACACACACATATATGTAAGAGAGAGAGATTGGTTTTCAGGGGGAGGCTCCTTGGACTGGCAGCTGTAACTCCTGGATAGAGTTCTGGCTTCCAGTTATTATACAAGCAAGCCCCCCTTTTTTGCTACGATATCAGATTGAGGGACACAGCCTTGTCCCTAGACATGCTCAGACCTAGTCAGAGCAAGGTGGGAGCTGGAGGGGCTCAGCAAATAGCCCCAGCCCCTCCCAGGAGTAGAGCAGCTCTTGTCAGTGGGTACTCATAGACTTTTGGAAAGCTGGACAAGAGAGAGCACAGTGGCAGATAAGACAGATTTTTTAAAAATTATTTTTTGGTTTTTCAAGACAGGGTTTCTCTGTATTGCTTTGGAGGCTGTCCTGGCACTCGCTCTGTAGACCAGGCTGGCCTTGAACTCACAGAGATCTGCCTGTCTCTGCCTCCCAAGTGCTAGGATTAAAGGTGTGAGCCACCAGTGCCCAGCCTATTTTTTTTAATTTTGTGTGCATGAAAAAAAATTATGTACATGAATGTTTTACCTGCATGTATGTGCATACCCAGTACCTGCAGAGGCAGGAAAAGGTTATTAGATACCCTAGAACTGAGCCGGGCATTGGTGGCACATGCCTTTAATCCCAGCACTCAGGAGGCAGAAGCAGGCAGATCTCTGTGAGTTCGAGAACAGCCTGGTCTACAGAGCTAGTTCCAGGATAGCCCCCAAAACAATACAGAGAAACCCTGTCTCAAAAAACCAAAAAAAAAAAAAAAAAAAAAAAAAAAAAGATACCCTAGAACTGGAGTTACAAATGATTGTGAGCCACTGCTTTGGTCCTGGGAGTCGAACTTAGGTCCTCTGCAAAAGCAACAAGTGATCTAAACCACTGGGCTATCTCTCAAGGCCCAGCAGAGCTGTCTTTGGAGGGTGAGACGGTGAAGGAACTTTCTCGTCCCAGATGTGAGCCCATATGCCCAGGGCTCTGACTGGCTTGGGTCTGGTAGAGGGAGAATTGGGAAGCAAGGAGACAAAAAGACAGGAGAGGAGAGCCCGTGGGTCTGAACAGAGAGGTGACCATGTAGCCATTGTCATCTGAAGCACACACAGAGGAAGAGCATGAGGCAAGAGCCTGGGGCATATCTCTTTTCTCCACGGAGCTTAAGAGAACAGGCCAGGAGAGATGGTCCAGTGGATAAAGGTTCGTGTCACCAAGCCAGATCACCTGAGTTGGATCCCAGGACTCCACAGGGTGGAAGGAAAGAACTGAAGTTGGTCTCTGACCTCCACATGGGAGCCTACACACATACACACAGACACACACATGCACACACGCACGCACACACACCCACACTCCTAATAAGTAAATAAATTAACGTAATTTTTTTAAGTAAAAAGTTAAGAGGGAGGTGAGCTTTTGGTGTTCCTGGTAGAGACTGTGGGTGCTGAAGACTTGCCTACAGATCCAGCAGGGTTAGGAGCCAGTGAAATCGCCCTCCAGCTCTGGTTCTCTGCCTTGGTAAGAGGCCCGGGGGGTCCCCCGGAGTGGGACCACGCGCAGAATCGCACTAGGAAGGGGCGCGGCTCCCGGAGCCCCGCCGCCACTCGAGGCTCCCGCCCCGCCTTGGTCGGAGGTGGTGCCTCCCTTGCGGCGACCGGAGCCTGGAGGTGGCGTCGGGAGCTGGAGCCCGGGGCTCGGATGTCACCGCGCGGCCGGTCTGGAGCGCGTCTCGGGCTGGAGCCACAGGTAAGAGGACGCTGGGTAAGAGCTGAGCATAGTCCACAGGAAGAGGACCAGGACGGGAGGGTCGGGGCGGCGACAGTGGTGGCCGCGAAGCAGTCAGACAGTTGTTCCGTCTGTACCTTCCGACCTGGAGTCCAGTCTGGCTGCTCCAGCGGAATAGAACCCCTGTGCACCTTTCTTTACTCTTGTCCGGGCCTGGCCGGGGACAGAGCCGTCCATCTGGGCTCGCTGTTGCGGGGACGCACATAGTGGCATCCGCCTGGTTCTTAAGTTCGGTTGCTGGAGAATCCTGGTCCCTCTCAATCCTCGATTTTCTCGGTCCATGAGCCCCACAGGGAAGACCCAGAAATACGCTGGGACGAAGCCATCTGCTCTCCTAGTGTCTCAGGCGCCCACTCTCACCTCTCCATGTGACTCTGCCGCCATAGTGTGGTCCCGAGAGCTCGACTCCGACCCCCTTTTGAGCCCATTTGCCTAGAATTTGAATCTGGGTATGTTCTCTGTCCCTGGCAGTGACTGTCTGTACCCAAGTGTCACAGGCATCCTGTGATTTTTGTACACCTCCCGGGAGTAGGATCTCAGTAGGGGCTTCCCCAGGGCTTTAGAGACCAGCAGCTATGTCACAGACCAGTTGTTGCACAGGGGTGCAATGTCATCTAATGCCTTGGAGAATAGGAGGACAGAGAACCAAGAAGTTTGACAGAAAGCTCACCCATCAGGCCTAGCCTGGGGTGCTAGGACTTAAGATCTAGTCTTGAACCCCGGGGCTCTGACTCTGGGAGATTCATCCGAGTGCAGTTACAGCCCTCCACAGCACTACAGGAGGCCACAGGCAAGGAGTGGCCCTCACAGGTCCACACAGGAAGTCAGATGGGAGGTGGCCCTTGAAAGGACAGTTTGATTCCAGATGAGCGGTGAGGTTTTTTTGGTCCTGCACCTCTCCTGTCACCTACCCTGGACTAGCATGTTTTGCTTTGGTGTGGTTTTAACCCACTGAAACCTGTCTTCATCGAATTTTCCCACAAGCCTTGACTGAAGTCCTGGGTCTGATTGCTTGCCTGGGTCCGCCTTCCCTCGAGAGCACCAGACCCATATCCCAACCACTGCTAGACTTGCCGTGGCCACAGGAAAGCCCAGGTCCCCCAGAATGAATGAGTGCTGCACACTTGTGCAGTCTCCAGGGGCAGTCTTGTCCAGTCTGTGGAGGGTCGTCCTTGAGGTCTGGTGTTTCCACCCTCAAGAGCCTGAGCTCTGAACCCAAAGCACATCTCACTCGCTCTTTATTCTGGTGACAAGGACCTTCCTCCATCCCCAGGACCCTAGACTACTTTTCTAGCAAACTACACGGCAACCCCTGCTCTGGGGACAATCATGGACATTCCTTATTGTTTGCGCTCAGGCTCCAAGGCCCTGGATAGCACAAAGGGTACAATATGGGAGTCCTGTATGGATAGAAACCTTCTAGGACCAGCATCCTTAAGACAAGTTAGGGGCAATAAGAAAACACATATATGTACACATTTAATGGTTCATTGTTCATTGGTGTTTTCATCAATTACTGTATTTAGTGTGTGTGTGTGTGTGTGTGTGTGTGTGTGTGTGTGTGTGTGTTAGTACAGGCATATGTGTCACAGTGTGGTTATGGGAATCAATAGTCTGTCGTCACTTTCTGCCTTAGTGAGGCAAGGCCTCTGCTGCTACATAGTGTATTTGAGGTAGCTGGCCTGCAAGCTTCCAGCTGATTCTCCTATTCCTACTTCCTGTCTCATGCCTGGGATGCTGAAATTACCGATACGCACCACAGCATCTGACTTTTAGAAAGCATTTCATGTTATGCATATGTGCCCAGGTACATGCAATAGCCTTCGGAGGGGGTTTGACCATCTGTAACTGGAGCTCCAGTTCACTGTGAGCCACCATGTGGGTTCTGGGAACGGAACCCAGGTCCTTGTAAGAGCAGTCAGTGCTCTTAATTGCTGAACCATCGCTCCAGCCCCTGAATCTGACTTTTCATATGAGTCTTGGTGCTCAAACTCAGTGAACAGTTTTACCCTATGAGTTAGTTACCTTTCCATCCCTTAAGCTGTTTTTGTTTGTTTTATTTTTAAGATTCTTTTTTTTTTGGTTTTACGAGACAGGGTTTCTCTGTATTGTTTTGGAGGCTGTCGGTCCAGCCTTTATGGCCGGGCGTTGGTGGCCCATGCCTTTAATCCCAGCACTTGGGAGGCAGAGGCAGGTGGATCTCTGTGAGTTCGAGGCCAGCCTGGTCTACAAAGTGAGTTCCAGGACAGCCTCCAAAGCCACAGAGAAACCCTGTCTCGAAAAACCAAAAAAAAAAAAAAAGATTCATTTTTATGTTTTTATTTTTATGAGTGTTTTGCCTATATGTATGTGCATGTACCATATGCATGTCTGGTGTCCAGGGAGACCAGAAGAGGACATGGGATCCCCTGAAATTCTAGTTACAGATGATTACTAGCTGCCATGGCAAACTAAATCTGGGTCCTCTGCAAAAACAGAGGTTTTTCGAGACAGTGTTTTGTTTTGTTTTTGTGAAACAGTCCTGGCTGTCTTGGAACCCACTCAGTAGACCAGGATGGCCTTGGACTCACAGAGATCCATCTGCCTCTGCCTCCCAAGTGTTGGAGTTAAAGGCGTGCACCACCACTACCTGGCTCATCTTAAGGCATTTTTATCTGGTGATTAGAAAATCCTTTTCTTTTCTTTTTTATTTTCCTTTTCCTTTTTTGTTTTGTTTTTTGTTTTTGTTTTGTTTTTCTTGATAGGGTTTCTTTGTGGCTTTGGAGGCTGTCCTGGAACTAGCTCTTGTAGAACTCACAAAGATCTGCCTGCCTCTGCCTCCTGAGTGCTGGGATTAAAGGCATGTGCCACCACCACCAGGCTTAGAAAATCCTTTGTTTTTTTGTTTTGTTGTTGTTGCTTGTTTTTTGGGTTTTTTTTTTTTGGTTGGTGTTTCGAGACAGGGTTTCTCTGTGTATCTCTGGCTGTCCTGGAACTCACTCTGTAAACCAAGCTGGCTTCAAACTCAGAGGTTTACCTACCTCTGCCTTCAAGTACTGGGATTAAAGATGTGCATCATCACCACCCTATTTCATAGCTTCTTTTTAAAAAACATTTTCTTATTTAGTTGTGTTTGTGTGTAGGAAAGGGAGGGAGGGAGGGAAGGAGGGAGAGAGAGACAGAGAGAGAGAGAGACAGACAGAGAGAGAGAGAGAGAGAGAGAGAGAGAATATGCATGCCACAATAACAGTGAGCACATGGAGTCAGTTCTTTCTCCCACGTGTGTTCCCAGGATAAACTCAAGTTGTCAGGCTTGACAGCCACGTTACCCACCAAGTCATTTCTACAACCACAAAGCCTACTTTGAGGAAATACCTTTGTAGTTCATCACCTCTGCATTTTGGCAAGCCAACATAGACAGACATGGGTGGCATATGCCAGTCCATGAGTTGAGCTGAGGTTAGAAAGATTAAGGAAGTAGGGAGTGGGGGTGTGGCTTGGTTAGTAAAGTGCCTGCTGGACAAGCATGTGGACCTGACTTTGAATACCCAACACCCAAGTAAAGAGCAAGGCACTGTTGCTAAGTGTGGAGGGTGGAGTAGAACTGGGAGAATTCCTGGGACTCATTGGCCAGTCAGCCTAACCACATGAGGTTTAGTAAAAGAGCCTGTCTCTAGAAATGATCAGGCTTGGTAGCACACATCTTTAATCTTGGCACTTGGAAGGCAGAGACTTGTGGATCTCCATGAGTTCAAGAGCATACTAGTTTACTTAGAGAATTCCGGGACAGTCAGGGCTGTATAATTGGAGACCCTGTCTCCAAAAAAAAAAAAAAAAAAAAAAAAAGGATGGGGAAAGATATTGAGGAAGACATCAACCTTTGACTTCCACATATACACACATGTGCATACACACGTACACACACACACACAGGCATACACACATGTGCACGCACACACACAACTTCTTTTTGTTGTTTTGTTTTTCTAGATAGGGTTTTCTCTGTGTAGCCTTGGCTGTCCTGAATGTTGGTATTAAAGGAGTGTATCACCACTGCCCAGCTCAAAAAAAAAAAAAAAAAGAAAGCAAGAAAAAGTTTTAAAGAAAAGAAAGGTTAGAAAGAGAGAAAACTGGTGTCTGTCTATCCTTTTAGGCAGCAGTTCTCAACCCCGTGGGCTTGTCTTGCTGGGCATGAATAGGCACCCAGCATGGCCACATCAAGATGTCTGGCCCTAGGTCTAGTGAAGGTTCACTTCCCTCTCCGTTATAGGAAGGCTTTATGCGCCTGGATAATATATAGGACAGAGAGGTGGGTGTAGGATGACCCTGGATGCCTAGTGTCTGGGAAGCTAGAACGAGCCCTCTTTTGGACCTCATGCCAAGTGTGTACCTCCCAATCTCTATACCCCACCCCCAAACAGATTAAGAAAGACAAACATCCCCACAGATCTCCGAGCCTCAAAGCTGCTCTCAGGCAGACCCAACACAAGCACACAGGCCTTCCCCTTGCTCTGCCTCCTGGCACTGGGGAGGGATCAATTTCCAGCCAGTCCTGCTTGCCTGCAGGCTCTGTTTCTTCCTGATAATGCATGAGTAACCTGGTTATGTCCATGGTGGCCAGGGCCTCCTTGCCCATCCTGTTGCCTTCCCCCAGAAAAGGCTAATAAGGAGGAGAGAAAGGAGACACAAAACATGGCGCCTCCTCCTTTTCTGCCACCCCTCCAACAACTCCCCACACCTCTGTCCCTTCCCTTCCCATTCAGCAACTGTTTATTTAACATTGACTGCATGCCAGGACTGGTGCCAGCCACTGGGTGATAAATAAGGGCAGGATCTGTCCTCAGGAAGCTCAGGGGTAGGGATGAGAGGGGGAAAAAGCAAACAATTACAGAGAAGGCGATGAGTGACACTGGAGATCCCTAAGAACCCAAGACCTCCAAGTTGAGTCCTCTTGGCAAAGCATAAGGGAGGTGGGTGTCAGCTCATGGTTCCTACACAGAAGACAAGATTGCAAACCCACCCAGTGACTTATTTTGGAATTTATGATACTTAAAGGTGACTTATTTGCCATTTGGAGTTTGGGCTTTGTCGGGGAAGGGGGTGCCGTGGCAAGGCCTTTGGGCAGGGTTTGCCTCTAGGGAATTGATTTTGGCTGCAGTGATCTTGGAGGCATGCCTAGATTCCAGCCAGGCCTCTGCCACTTAGGACCGAGGGGTTTTCATCTGTAAAAAGCACAGAGGGAGATGAGGATTAAGATGAGTATTTATATGACACCTCTGGACCATAAAGGACCCATACTGGGGGTGGACAGAGATTGCGAAGCTGCCCTGGCTCCTGCCTTGCCTATTGTTCCCCTTCTCTGGGCTTCTCTGTGATCTCAGAACATTCTTGATCGTTGTTTGTGAGGGAAAGATCACACGGAGAAGCCAGGAAGTGGCCTGGGTGGGACTGGGGTTTGAGCATGCTCCTGTTCTCAGCACTGCTGGGGGTGCCAGGGGAGAGGTGCAGCTCGGGAAGGCCCAGGACCCAAGGCAAGGGAATGGGCCAGTTGCGTCAGAACTGACAATCCCAAACTCCACACTTGCGCTCTACAATGAGTCCTATTGCCCATGCCGTCTCAACCTCCGAAGTTTCTCTACCACACTGAAGGGTAGGAAGATGTGATAGCTAGGGACAGTCTGATCAGGGAGTGGATATATAAGCCCCCGGTTCTCTATGGTTTAAGAGAGCCAGCAGGCTGTCCTATTTTTAGTTTTACACTTGTTTGTTTGTTTATTTTAGCTTTCCACCAGGCCTGCCAGCCCCAGTCTCCAACTGCACAGCCATGGAGGCCCTGGGTACTGGGAGTGAGCGCACCTCCCCAGCCTCGGCCACTGGAAGCCTGGACATGCGACGGCTGTCCACCACGCGCTCCGACTCCGCCTACAGTTCTTTCTCCACAGCGTCTGGTGGTCCGGAGATGGACACACCGTCCCCTGGCACCGAGATCCTCCCTTACCTAGACTGGGACTATGTGCGCGTGGCTTTGGGAAGCCGATCCCCTACCCCGAAGGACACTACCCTTCCAACTACCCAGCAGCCAGAGCCGGTAGTCGCTGGGCACAGTGACCCGCGGCCCCCAGAGGCCCAAGGAAGCCCGAGGTCACTGAGCAGACAAGACACCCCTCTACTGTATGCGCTGGCCGCCGAGGCTGAGGCTGCGGCTCTCACCGCTGAGCCACCCAGTCCCCCAGCTTCACGGGACGCCTACCGCCAGCGGCTGCAGGGTGCGCAGCGGCGAGTTCTACGGGAGACGTCCTTCCAGCGAAAGGAATTCCGCATGAGTCTGCCCGGCCGTCTGAGACCCCGGCTCCCCACGCGACCGCCCATGCTGCATGCGCGCTCTGCCTCCAGCTGCCATGAGGGAGGAGAAGCGGAGGCGGCGGGCACCGCGGTCCCAGCGCTGGGTGCTGCTGCCCGGGGGCGTCTGGCCAGCCAGCAGCGCATGTGTTGTTTCTCCGAGCCAGGCAAGCTGCATCGCGTGGGCTGGAGCGGCGGGCACACGGGCGAGGGCTTGAGAGAGGCTTGTTCCACCCAGGAGTTGCAGCGTGGGGCGCACGCGAAGTCCAAAGGGCTGCAGGAGACTCAGTCCCTAAGCTCAGTGGAGCTGGACTCCCCGTCTGTGAATCTTGGCAATGGCTGTAGACCTGCGGGTCGGAGTCAGAGCGTTTCAATCATGGGTCCCCGCACGGGTTCAGAAAGGATGGTGGCCACCCCTATTCAGGTATGCGAGATAAAGGCTGGTGGGGAGGGCGGCATCTGGGAGACTGCTGTATTTCAGTCTACTCTTCCCCTTCCTAGGCTGTGCCTCAAAGGACGGAAACCCCCAGACCATTACTTCAGATGAAGCTTCCCAGGTGAGAGGCATGGGACTCTTCAGGAACAACGCTGTCTGGAGTCAACATTCACAGCTCTGGCTTAAAAAGGAATCACGGGTCCTGTATTCATTACTTTTGCTATTGCCGTGACCAAATTCCTAACAGAGGGGACTTAGAGAAGAAACACTTATTTTGGTTCGGGATTGAAGACAGTTGAGCCCATCATGGCCGAGAAGGCGTGGATTCAGGGAGCATGAGGTTTCTTGGGGAGCATATTCCTGCTGGTGCTCAGTTCTCTTTCTCCTTCCTACTTGTTGTTCAGTCTAGACCCCAGTCCATGGGATGGCACTGCCCACATTCAGGGTGGGTCTTCCCTCCTTAGTGACACCTCTCTGGAAACCCCCTCACAGTCAGTCACAGGTGTGTCTCCTAGGTGGCTCCAAATCCAGTCACACCACGAGGAGACAGTCTGCCTACCTCAGTTGGAGACTTCTGTCTTGCAAGTTGCATGCTCTGCTATTGCTATAGTGCAGTGGGAAGACACTCTTTTTCTGGTCACTATAGGGTTCCTGCCTCTAGGTTTGTGACTCAGAAGGAGGCTGCCATGGCATGTCCTGCAGAGGTCTTCCAGGGCAGCCCAGCTGGCTGTGGTCAGGGGGTCCCTGAGACCGTCAGAGCGTCTACTCCACACCCCTCCCTCCCCGATGATGATGTGTTCCTGGAAGAAGCAGAGACACCACCACCTCAGGATTCCCACGGCCCCCAGGGGCTCCCAACCAGGTGAATCCCCATTGTGTCCAAGCTCAGAGAGACACTCTCACCACACAGAAACATCTAGAAAATGCAGCAGGGCCAGGAACTCTCTCTTGTAATGCCCAGGTGGTGGGGATGGGGGCAGGCAGTCCTTGGGAAACCAGTTATTGTCTGAGCCTTTTCTGATTCAGTAGCTCTTCTAGGGATATCCATGCCTGTGACCAACGGAATGAAAATGACTTAAGCAAAAAAGCTGGCCAGATTACTGTCTCAGCAGAGAGCCCCTTCCGCAAGAGCCCAGGGACCACAGGAGTTGATGACAACTGGGAAGAAAGGGTGAACGGTTCTGTGGGTTTCTCAAGACCCACAAGCTGTAGCCCTCCTGAGACTACAAATGATGACATTCCAACTGTTCACACTGCTGGACCACTGACCATGGATCCCTCTACAGTTACAGAAGATAACCCCCTCAAGCCTCCCTCAGTCGATGGGCTGCGACCTTTAGGCTCTGAGAGTCCAGGGCCCCCTCATCACACTTCCCTGACCTGGGGCCAGCCTGCTCCTAAGCCAACCTGGCCTAGTCGGCATTTTGAGGAGCTGGTTCGGCAGCTGGCCAGACTGGATCCTTCTTTGAGCGACACTTTTGCTGCCCAACCTGGTCCAGAACTACCTCTTGGTCTGCTAGATGGGCTTTTTCCTGCCACAGAGGTCTGGGTTGCCATGAGGCCAGCCTGTGAGACCGCTGGAGAGGAGGCTGCTGGAGAAGAGGCCTCTGGAGAGGAGGCAGCAGGAGCTTCGGATGCAGGGTGAGCGACAGTCACTTAGGGACTCCTGCCTGAGTCTGAGTCTGTAGTCTAGAGCAGAAAAACTCAGAGAACTCTGGCTTTGTCCTCAGGTCCTGCAGAAGTCACTTTACCCAGGAACTACCGACTTCGGAGGCAACAAGATCGGAAAACACTACCCCGCACGCTGTGCCTCACCAGTCAAAAGGCCAGGGACTCCCAAAACCAAACAACACTCAGGCCAAGAAAGTGAGTCGGGGGTGGTGGGGAAAAGTGGGGCGGCGTGGGGGTAGGGGAGATGGGGAAAGCTTAATGTCTAGGAGGAGAACTCCTGAGCTCGGCCCAGTTCTTGAATACCTAGGCCCTCCCTGCAGGTGGAGCTAGCCCGCCTCCTGCAAAAGATGCTCCAGGATCTTCACGCTGAGCAGGAGCGACTGCGGGCGAAGTCTGCAGACTGGACCCGATGTCTTGGAGCTCTAGAGGCTGCAGTGAGCCAAGCCTGTACACCCCGGGAGCTGGAGCGGTTCCGTCGGTTCATGACTGATTTAGAGCGCGTGCTTGGTCTTCTGCTGCTGCTGGGTAGCCGCCTGGTCCGTGTGAACCTCGCCTTGGCCAAGGCAGGATCGGATAGCGACCCCGATGAGAGGGTAAAAGAGGTTGAGGTTTGGGGGAAGAGCTGGGTTTGGAGGGGCCTGCGGTCTTCAGTCAGGACCATCCCCGCAATATCGGTGCTCACTGAACCCTCTCCCGGTGCCTCCAGGCCTCGCTGCTACAGCGACTCCGGCTTCTGCAGCGACAGCAGGAGGATGCCAAGGAGCTGAAGGAGCACGTGGCTCGGCGGGAGCAAGCCCTGCATCAGGTGTTGGAGCGGGAGCTGCCCACAGAGCATCTGCGCTCCTATTGTGTGCTGCTGGCCGCCAAGGCCAGGATCCTGTCCCAACAGCGCAGCCTGGACGACCGAATCCGGTTCCTTAAGGACCAGCTGGATACCATCTGGAGCGACCTCAGCCATCATTCCCTTTCTCCCAGACTGTCCTGGGCCCCAGGAATCCGTCCTCTGGACAAACCACTTTTCCCTGCTACCGCTATCTAGTTACAGGTAGAGAAGGTGAGAAGTATTGTCCCAGCCTCACCCTCAACTGGGGTCATGCTTTTTTATATATATAGAGTTTTCCCTTGAGGGAAAAGGAGGCCTCAGACCAGGTCTCCCCAGGACACATCTTTCTACAGTGTTCTGTGACCTTACTCAAGCTTTCAATTACTTGGGAATTAATTTATGGGTCTTAAAAACTGCAATATTCAACCAGGTGGTGGTGCATGCCTTTAATCTCAATACTGGGAGGCAGAGGCAGGCAGATCTCTGTGAGTTTGAGACCAGCCTGGTCTACAGAGTGAGTTCCAGGACAACCAGGACTGTTACATAAAGAAACCCTGTCTAGAAAAACCAAAAACAAAACAACAACAAAGCACAAAAATAACAAACCCCCAAAACAACAGCAAAAACCACAACAAAACAAAACAAAAACTGCAGTGTTCAAACCCAGCCTGGTGGCATAACTGTGATTCCAGCTACATGGGAGGCTGAGGCAGGAAGATTTTGAGTTCAAGGCCAGGCTGGGCAACTTAGGAGACTCTGCCTGGAGAGATGATGGCCCCACAGTTAAAGCCACTTGCTGTTCTCCCAGAGGATCTGGGGTTGAACAGTAGTGTCCTGTTGTATGGCTCATACCATCCAGTCACAGGGAGGGGCTCTGATGGCCTCTGGCTTTCACACAGGCGGTGCACAGACACTCATGCAGGCAAAGCACCCCCAAAGAAAGAAAGAAAGAAAAATTTTAAGATACCTTAAAGAGGAAACTGCAGATAGAGCTGAGTTGGAGAGGGCTTGCTTGACGTGTGTGAGACCCTACGTTCAATCCCGGGTACAGCACCAACGAAAATAAAGCAGGACGCGTGGCTACAGACCCTGCACACTGCTCTTGTGGTGGCGAGGCCCTCTGCTGGAGTTGGTGGGAGGCAGAGGAGTCGAGATGGAACACTGCCGCTCAAGGTGCAAAACACTGTTGTGTTTTATTTTCTAATAAATTTTCTGAGAGAATCATGTGTGGAACAATCCTTCACACTGTGTGAATATGTCACTGAGAGGCAGGCGGATCTCTGTGAGTTCAAGGTCAGCCTGTTCGACAAAGTAAGTTCCAGAACAGCCAAGGCTATTACACAGAGAAACCCTGTCTCAACATAAACCAAACCATACGAACAAAATAATAAAATGTAAGAGTTAGCTAATAACAAGCCTGCACTATTGACTTAGCATTTATAATTAATATGAAGTCTCTACGTGTTTATTTTGGGGCCAGCAGTCAGACAAAAATTCCTCCTGTGACAAAAACTCCACCTGCAGTGCCTGTTGCCTGTCTGGGTTGGGGGGGAGAGGAGGAGGGGTCTCATTGACAAACTCCAGCAGCGGTCCTGGCTGACCAGAGTTGAAGAGGGACTTAGCAGAATATCAGTTTGCCTCAGCAATGTCTGGAGACGGAGAGAATCGGGTTTGAAAACAGGAGAGGCTGAGGGGCGCTCCACTAACCACTAGCAATTGCTACCTGTCCTGGTCACCCGATCACCACCACAAAAGCTTAGGTCTTGGGCAAGTGAGACGACTCAGCTGCTAAAGGGCTTGCTGTGTAAGCCTGATAACATGGGTGCAAACTCCAGATTCCATGGAAGGAGAGAGTCAGCTCCCAGAAGATGTCCTTTGACCCAACACTAGTGCTGTGGCATTCATATGCCCACATTCATACACATGGTTCTACCCAACCATCACCACTACACCTCCCCTCCAAAAAATAATAAGAAAGCCCACTGAGTTTAGATTCTCTCATTACAGCACCTGCCATGCAGAGGTGGGAGGTTTTTATTAAGAACCATGGGTTACAGACCAGTCTAGCAACATAGTGAGAGCACTGAACACAACTCAAAACACAGCTTTATCCAGCTGTTGGTCTGAGACCAGCTCTGGGTCAGACAGGTCAGAAGGGAGCAGAGGATGGGAGGCCAAGATGAAGAATGGGATACTCAGGAGTAGCGGTTGTGAGGCCCAGAGGCCCAGAAAGGCAGTGAGGGCTTGTACTGTATTCAAGAAAGGCTGACCTTGGGGTGGCCCATGGTGGTCCAAAGCAGGAAAAATCCCTCTCCATTTGGGCAGGATCCCTGAGAACAGAACACTACCAGTTTTGCACATTAACATGAGACCAGCTTCAGTATTGAAGCCACGAACACCAGGGATAAGAATGTTTTCTCGAAAAGGCTCACAGTATTTTTGGAAGTTGGACACATTAAAAGCTGTGTGTGTGTGTGTGTGTGTGTGTGTGTGTGTGTGTGTGTGTGTGTGTGTGTGTGTGTGTGTGTTTAATGCCATTGACCCCAAAGTGAGAGATCTCTGCTTCTGGGCTTGTTATCTGATGGGTATTGTCACTCAGTGCAATGGTTGAGATTTTTAAATGATTGTATTCATACTAAACGCATTAGTTGCAACAGTCGAGCTATTGAGCACAGAACAATGTTCGCATTGTGTCATTTTGTAAAAAACCATATGGGGATCCAGCTGAGGCCATTGCGGGTTCTAACATTATGTTTAGCTTTTGTTTCTTTGAACCCTGTGGGGCGGTCCTGGGCTCCAAGGCCATTGTGGAGCAGCTGTCTAGGAGGAGCCTTCTGCATGGAAGCTGCTAACTTCTGCCCATTGCTCTACACGATGCCCACTGCATGCTTCCGTTATGATATTATTAGAAATACATCTAACATCGTCCACTAAGCCAGTGAAAAATTGTGTGTTTCAAAACACTTCGAGCTTAAGGGTGGGGATAATGACGACTGCCATCTTCTGGCTAAAAGAAACTTGGCTCCGTGTTGGATTTTTCAAAGGGGTACTCAACTCTGTCAGTTAGCAAGAGCTCCCCCAAATAGAGACACACTTCCAGAGCTCTTCCTTGGGCTAACCTGGTCTTGTCTCCTTTTTGCCTCAGTTTTTCTCCCATCCAATCAATGATTTCTTCTGAGGATACTCAGGAGTTCACAACATCTGTATTGACATCCCAGACCTAAAATTTTGGGGATACCTGAAACCTGATGCATCGACACTGTGGGTGCACCGCCAGCAGAGGGCACTGTTCCCTTGCCATGGAAGCTTCCACCCACACTGTAGCCACCCTCAGCCTGGTGAGCTACCACATGAAGCCTGGGCAATGTCCCTATTGGGCTTGAAAGCTGGAACTGGGACCTTTTGCTTCTGTCGGAAAGAAATTTTAGCTAGTTAAGAAGGAAAAGGCTGGCTTGCTTTTCACTGCCACCAGGCCTATGCTGGAAAATTGTTGACTGAATGAGAGGGAGGGAAGCCGGAGATGTGGACCCAGAGCAAGTATCCTAGAATGTATCTGTCTGCCGCCTCCGCAGCTTGAGTTGTGACTCGGTGTCACACACGCCTTCGGCTACTGGAGGCGGCGCCCTGGGCTTTGCTAGATGTTTGGCTTGAGCTGTTGTTGCTGGGCAACAGGCATCACCGCAGCCTCCGGCTCATCTCGCCCCCGCTGCTCCTCCTCCTCCTAAGAATTTAATTGCTGTACTTTTTACTTTCATACTGTAAATTGGAAATGGAATGGGGAAGCTGTGTTGCTCGGCGCCCCAAGCTGTCGAGAACATTCTGCTCCGTACAAAACGTACCTAGGCCAGCGACTAGCGGAAACTCTGGGGGTCCTCACTGAGGCTGTTGGGGGCGCTGGCCATTCAGATGGCAGAGGCTCCTGGGGAAGGTTAGGGCAGGAGAGGTGGATGGTGGGGGCTGACAAGGAGAGGACACTTACCGTGAAGAAATCCTCTCAAGACCCTTACCACTACTTTCACAGCCCGGCCATGTGCCCGCTACCTTTGGTATTTAAATCACTCGACATTTCCCACCAAGAGAATTTCCTCTGTGGGAGAGTGATGGATTAAGACATCTTCTTTCTCTCCGCTTCCCAACTCACCCTCTCCCTTCCTCTGCTATGCCTTGCTATCTTCTTTATCTTCCTCCCTTCTCCCTTTCTACATCCTCTCCTCCCTGGCTCCTTTCTGCTTTCTCTTGGAGGTTCAAGTCCAGAGGTGTGGCAGTTCTCCATGGTGAGGCCAGGTCCTGAAGACAAAAAGCCATCTGGAGAGGAATAGTGAATCTATTTATGAAACCGTTTCAGAAGATCACACAATTTTCTCCCAGAAAATAAGTCCTTTTATAGATTGATGTCTATGTATGTCTATGCACTGCATGCATGCTTGGTGGTGCCTTGGAGGAGAGAAGGAATCAGATGCCCCGGATCTGAAGTTGTGAACTACCATGTGGATGCTGGAAACAGAGCCCAGGTCCTCTGCAAGAACAACCAGTGCTCTTAACCACTCAGCCACCTCTCTAGCCCCTGGGAGCATCTTTATAAAGATTGGCAGGTGCTTTCAGCTCAGTTGGTAGCAGTTTAAGTGGGTAAAGTAAGGACAGTTGAGGAATGTGAGTTAAGAAAGACAGTGTTCACTTGGGAGGCAGAAGCAGGCAGGTATTTGTGAGTTTGAAACCAGCCTGGTCTACAAGGCAAGTTCAAGGACAGCCAGGGTGACACAGAAAAACCCTGTCTCAAACCATCCCTCAAAAGGAAGAAAAATAGCTAAGTGGATAAAAGCACCAGATATCAACCCTGACAGCCAAGTTGCATCTCTGGGACCAGCACAGCAGAAGGAATGATTCCTTCTGACCTCCACACATGTGCATGCCATATGCATGCCCTCCATGTAGCCCAGGCTGGCCTTGAACTCCATATGTTAGGACATTGAGTCCTGATCTTCTGCCTTCACCTCTCTGGGTTACAGGTATGTGCCACCAGACCCACCTTCTGTTGATTCTATTGTCTCACTATGTGGCCCTCGTATCTGCAATGTAGACCAGGCTTGTCTGTGACTCAACAAGGATACTCCTGCCTCTGCCTTCTCAGTGCCGGGGTTGAAGACAGACACCATCATGTCTGGCTTAGATTTAAAAAAAAATATTTTTTGGTAGTGGTGAGTGCCTAAACTGACCACATGACCTCTCCAAGGTATGGTTAAGTGGGAAGTTTCTATTGCAGATATGAGGGAGAGTACAACCAGAGACATCTGGGAGAGTGCAGAGCAGAGAGAGAAAGCGGTAGACTGGGCATGGCCAGCAGACTGGACCTGCCATGAGAGGAGAGGAAGGGGAGAGGGAGAGGCGAAGAGAGTGCCAGCAAAGGAGGCCAAGAGAGTGCATACATAGCTGAGGTAGGGTTATGAGAACAATGAGAAGGTGGGGAAGCCCAGTGAGCTGGAGGGGGTGGGTGAGAAAAGCCAGGTTGTCAGCAGCACTTTGAAATGTGTAACAGGTGCTGTGATACTGCAGGAGCCTGGAGGCCAGCAAGCATATTGTTATTCTAGAAGGCACCACAGATGGCCATGGGTCCCTTTTGCCAGTGACAAGGGGATAGGCTCCTTTGGTACTTTCTGAGGAATGCTGGATTTGTCTAATTGCCAGAATCTGGACCTGACAGTGAGACCCCCATCTCAAAAATGACAAAACAAAACCTATTTTTTTGTGTACAGGTGTTTTGCCTGCATGTGTGTCTGTGCCTGATGCCTGCAGAGTCCCAAAAAGGGTGTCAGATCCCCTGGAACACGAGTCACAGATGGTTGTGAACAACCACTTGAGTGCTGGGAATAGAACCCAGGTCCTCTGAAAAAGCAGCCAGTGCTCTCAGCTGCTGAGCCATCTCTCCAGCCCTGTTGATTCTATTTTAATTAAAGTGCTATCTATCACAAAGAACTTGGGATAATTTCCCTTCAGTGGGAGATGATTTTTCCTGGTAGAGTGAAGTATATTGGTTTGCAAGCACGAATGGTAAAAGAATGGTGATCATGTAAAGCAAACCCAAATGTCAGTGCAGTAGGGTCTGGGGTGCGGCCACACACCCGTGGAAGCACTTGGTGCCTCTGGCTCTACGTTGGCTGCACCGAGGATCTCCAAGAGTTCTAAATTATTGCCCTGTGTTGCTCCCCCTCCTCACAGCCTGTAGGATGGGTCCTGCCAGTCTTATGTCCCAGAAAGTAAGGAGATGGAGTGTGGAGAATGGCCCAGAGTCACTGTTTGAGGTTCTGTTCGTATGATAAAATGTTCTGACAAAAGCAATGTAAGGGAGTGAGGATTCAATCAGACTGGCAGTTCCAGGGTACAGTCCATCTTGGCAGAGAATTCAAGGCCACAGGAGGCTGGAGCAGCTGGTCACTCTGTGTCCACAATCAGGAGAGAGATGAATGCACGCATGTTGCTGCCCAGCTCCCTTTTCCCATTTCACACGGTCCAGGATTCCCTGACCAGGGAGTGGTTCCACCCACAATTAAAGTCAATTAATATAATCAAGGTAATCCCACACAGGCACACCCAGAGGCCTGTCTCTCAGTTGATTCTAGGTTCTTTCAAGTTGCTAGCACTAACCATCACAGTCAAAAGGTACATTCCTGATGAGGCCAAGATGCCACTCCGCCACTTACTGGAAATGAGCCTGGACAAGATCTTCTAACCTTTGCAGCCTAGACACTGATGGGCTGGGGACATGGCTCAGTACTTAAGAGCTTGCTGAGCAAACACGAAGACCGTAGTTCAGATCTCCAGAACCCATATAAATGCCAGGTGGGCATGGTGGCCCACATGTAATTCTAGCCACAGAAGGCAGAGACAGAGGGTGCCAAGGGCAAGCTGGCTAGGGTGAGACTAGCCACATTCATGAATTCTAGGTTGATTGAGAGACCCTGACTCACTGCATAAGGTGAGAGAATGATTGAAAATTATTTCAGCTGTCAACCTCAGGCCTCCACCCATGTATGTGCCCAAACACATGCAAACATGCATGTACATACATGTGCACAAACACATGCACAAATGGGATGAGGAAAACATCTAGAGATTAAGAGTCTATACCATGCACAAAGCTTGCTTAATAACTGTGACTTATTGAAACTGTGCCTGGGACTTACTTAACAGACACAGCTTACAGATGCATTCAATACCCATGTCCTGAACCTTCATCAGGCAAGGGAAGCTTGCTCAAGAATAAGCCCCACCCCCATCAAAGGCAATGTAAAACACATTAGTGAGTTTGCTGTGGCAGTGACTCATACACATCTATAACAATTAACTTGTCTTCCATTAAAAGGGCTCATTCTCCTCCCCTGACAACCTTTACCACCTAAATTGCCTTAACAGTTCATTTTTCTATTACATTAATTTATTTATTCAATAGTGTCTGGGTATACTTCATTGTATGCAGGTGCTATTTGCATGTGGATACAAATGTGTGTCTGTACATGCACGTTTGGCCGCGTGTATAGTTGCAAAAGACAACAGGTGCTTTTCCTTAGATGTTGTGCACTTTGGGTTTTTCATTTGTTTTGCCTTTTTCCCTGTGGAAATTTGCTTTGTTTTGTTTTGTGAGACAGGGTTGCTCAGTAGCCTGGAACTCACCAGAGGTTAGGCTGGCTGACAGTGAGTTCCAGGGAACCACCTGTCTCTGTTTCCCCAGCACTGAGGTTACAAATACATGGCACCATACCTGGCCTTTAAAATTTATTCAGATTGAGCCGGGCGTTGGTGGCGCATGCCTTTAATCCCAGCACTTGGGAGGCAGAGGCAGGTGGATCTCTGTGAGTTCGAGGCCAGCCTGGTCTACAAGAGCTAGTTCCAGGACAGCCTCCAAAGCCACAGAGAAACCCTGTCTCGAAAAACCAAAAAAAAAAATTTATTCAGATTGGGTCTGGAGAGATGGCTCAGAGGTTAAGGGCACTGGATGCTCTCCCAGAGGTCCTGGGTTCAATTCCTAGCATCCACATGGTAGCTCACAATCATGTTATGAGATCTGGCTCCCTCATCTGGCCTGCAGGCATACATGCAAGTTGAACACTATACAAAATAAACAAATAAATAAAATTAGCTTAAAAGTTATTCCGATTTATTTATTTTGTGCACGACTGTTTTGCCTGTATGGACTTGAGGGCCTGGTGCCAATGGTATTTAGAAAAGATGTCTGATCTCCTGAACTGAGAAGTTCAGAGGTTGTGAGCCATCATGTAGATGCTGGGAACCAAAGCTGGGTCCTCTGAAAGAGCAGTCAGTGCCCTTGACCCCTGAGCCACCTCTCCAGCTCCAACACCAAGCCTTTGTTTTGGTTTTTGCAATAGGGTTCCTCTATGTTGCCTTGACTGTTCTGGAACTCACTCTGTAGACCAGGCTGGCCTGAACTAATAGACATCCACCTGCCTCTGCCTCCCAAGTGCTGGGATTAAAGGCGTGCACCACTACGCCTAGCCACCTGGATTTTTTTTTAATGTTGGTTCTTAGTATCTAATTCAGGCTCATCTATTTACAAAGCAAGCACTTTACCAACACAGTGCTCTCTCCCACCCCCCCTTACAATTTTATTTTAAAAATTAAATATATGGTTCTTGGAAACTTCCCACATGCTGTCATCCTCACTGACTTCCCTCGCAGTTCCAGAATAGTCTTGGTCTGCAAGGAAACAGCAATGGTTCCTAATACCCAGGCTATGGGTTTATTAATTCTTAACTCTTAGCAAATGATTTATTTCACTTAAAGGTTTGCAGAAATATGAAGGTTTTTATGGCAGCTGAAATAGCTCTCCTGGGAGGCAAATTCTCAGTAATTGCTGCTTCTCTTTTCTGCTCTGTTAGCTGGTATCTTGTCTCTCAAGACACATCACATCTATGCCTGGGACCTTTGTCAACCCATCCCAGTCAGGCTTTTCCTTCACCACAGAAAATCTCTAACATCTCATTCTGTCTCCTGGAGCTTCAGCTATGCAAATTGCTGTGATCATTGCCTCCTCAACAATTTTTCTGCAGAGGCAGAAGATTTAATTTGCATTTAAAAATAATTCATGCCAACTAGCGTTCCAGGCGAGGAAAGGACAAAGGATCAGCCCAGAGCCTGCATTTATCCATGGTTCGTGGCTCTAATGCCTGTGTGATTGAGTCCTTTGCAGAGAAATCTGAGCTCTTTGGATGAAGAATGTTTAATAGTGGCAGGGGAAAGCTAAGGGAAAGGGAAGGCATTCCACAGACAAAACAGCAGCAGGATGTGGCTAATGGGTAATGTTTGCCTAGTAAGGGAGACACCCTGGATTCAGTCTCTAGCCCCGGGTAGCAGGGGTGGGATGGGGTGGAGGGTGGGGGAGGTGTGTGTGGTGCACCGTGGTCTAGCAGGTAAAGCGCTTGCCCCACAAGCCTGACAACCTACATCTGCTCCTGGATCTCACAGTCCCTGAAAGCTGTCTTCTGACCTCTGCATGCACTCTGTGGCACATGAGGGTTCACAGTCCCTCCTTCTCACACACAATCAGACAATAACATTTTAAAGGTTTATCTTTATTTGTGTGTATGGGCGTGTGTCTGTGTAGAAGTATGGAGTCCAGAGTTACAGCAGGCTGGAGATGCCTTCTGTGAGTGCTGGGAACCAAACTGAGGTCCATTGCTAGAGCATTATAAGCTTTTAACCGCTGAGCCATTTCTCCAGGCCCAATAATAACATTTCTTTAAATAAGGAAAAACAACTGTAGCTAAGAGAAGTGCACCTCACATAAGCAGAAATAAAAACAGGAACTGTTTATTTCATTGCTTAAAGTCGTTCTAGTGATGACTGCTGGACTGTCTTTAATGATTTCAAAGTTCTCACTGGCATAGATTGGTGAAGGGGAAGCCACCCTCCCCTGTGCCACAAGAACCATTCAGTATGACTGATAACATGCAAATATAATTTTAAAAAACAGAGCAATATCACGATAGGATACAAAGTCGACTGAGCAAATAGATTTCACATTTTTTTTAAAAAAAAAAAGGGGGAACAAGGTACTGTTAGGATTCTACTATGCCCAACAGGAAATCTTGGGCATGCCCACAAGCCTGCCCCATTTAAGGGACAAAGGTCCAGAAATTACACTGCTCATTCTAGATCACTGGACTAAGGTTCTGCATTTAGTATTTCAAATGTTTTTTAAAAAAATGGACATCATACACTTATTTGTTCAGAACTTTCATATAAAAGAGTAACAATCATTTCAATTACTATTAACCAGATTTTTTTCTGGTGTAATAATTTTTTGAATAGTCATCCACTGCACTGAAAACCACAGGTTCAAAATTCACAATTAAATCACAATTTAAAAAAAGATTAAAATTTCATGCCAAATCAAAGTAGCCACCAGTTAGTGGGAAACACATTTTCACCTCAGAGTAATTTAAAATTATTTACCAAAATGTCTCTTTTCTCTCTTTGTTAAAGCATGTTTACCCTCAAGATGCAACTCTTTCAGGTTTTTTTTATTTTTTGCTTATTTTGGTTTTTTTTGGGGGGTGTTTGTTTTTTTGAGACAGGGTTTCTCTGTGTAGCCCTGGTTGTCCTGGAACTCAGTCTGTAGACCAGGCTGGTCTAGAACTCACAGAGATCTGGCTGCCTCTGCCTCCCGAGTGGTAGGATGAAGGTGAGAGCTACCACGCCCAATCATACACTTGGTTTTCAGTATTTGACATTCACAGTACATTCATTAGGGTCATGATAGTCATTTTATGTTCAAGACCCCAGAATCTGTGCTGCCTACGATGAGGTAGATAAACTTACTGCGTGCTGTTCGCTAGGATTAATTTCCTAAAGATAGATTTCCAAAATAGTCAGCAAAAGATGGAAAATGTCTTCATATTTTGCCTAAAAGTGGGAAAAATGGATTTTCAAGAAGGTATTATCAAAGTTTCCATACCTTATTTTAATTTAAAAACAGAATAAAAGCAGCAAAATACAAAGCCACTACACATCTTAAACTCTCCATCTTTGAACTTCTAGGCTTCTAGGGAGCCTGGCTCTGATTCTAATTTGGGAATCTGTGCATGCAGAGGCCTCTGTACACCTCCAGGGGACCAGACCAGCTGCTGCCCCTTAACCTTTGACCCTAAACTTCAAGTCTCCCACCAAGTTCAGGCCTGACTGCTTGGTTTCTTCAAAGGGACCTCTCCCAGGGAACAAGAACCCAATCTCTAGGCACATCAAAGTTCAGACAGACAGTAGAGGCCCGTCTGGGTACAACAGGCTGCAATGAGTGAAGTTGCAAGCTAGACAGGCAGCCGGTGTTGGGCCTGTCTTGGGCAGGCTTAGATGGTACGGCACAGGCCCTGGTAGGTCAACCAAGGTATTGGTAGATTCAAGGCCATTCAGGTTGGAGGGGGCAGACTGGGCACTAAACCAGCTAAAGGCCCCGGGGTGTGTCGACGAGAGATTTCAGTGAAGGACGGCAGACCACCACGGATCTTGGTCTTTTTGCGGGGAGCCATGGGCGAGGCACCCAAGAACTTGCTGAAGGAGCTTGACTTCTTCAAGCCACGGGCCAGGTCCTGGAGCATCAAGTCGTCAGCCAGGACGCCCAGAAACGCGCTAGTGGTGGAACCGAGGATGGTGGCAGCCACCTGCACGGGGTGCTGCGACACAAGACTCCCACTGCCACCACTGGTTGCATCAAGCTCCGTGGTAGCTCGCAGGCCGGGATCACCAAGTAAACGCCTCAGCGCGTAGGAGGAGCCAGGCCTCAGGTACTGGTAGGCACGACGGCCACTGTGGTCGCGGACGTTCACTTGGGCGCCCAGACGCACCACTAACAGCACGGCTGCGTCCTCGTGGCCGTGCAGGGCCGCCAGGTGCAGCGGCGTGTAGCCTCCGTGCGAGCGCGCGTTCACGTCCACGGGCGCGCCCCCACGCCGGGCGACCTCCACTAGCTGTAGAGCCATCTCCCGGTCGCCGCTCTTCGCTGCCCAGTGTAGTGCGGTGAAACCCGACATGAAGTCACGCTTGGCAGCCAGGCCGCGGTCCCGCAAGAGCAGCCCGTGCAGATGGTGGCTCCAGTGGCCGCTGGCCGTGCGCACCAGCCACTCGTGCTCCGTGGGCTCCAGGGGCACCGCGGGAGGCGGCGGCGGCGCTGCAGGCACCTCCTCCGTGTCCGGGCTCAGCAGGCGCGGGCCCGCGCGCGACAGGCGCCTGAGATGAGGGGAGCGGCCGGGTCCCAGGTGGAGGCCCAGCCCCGACTCCTCTACCGAGAGCCGCCGCAGTAGCATCGGGGAGGCCCGCGGGCTCGGCTCCTCCGACCGCTGCCGGCGCAGGCCTTGCTCCTCCGCGCGGATCCGCAGCGCCGCGGGGCCGGGGACCACGCAGCGCACCGGTAGCATGCAGGGCTTCTGCGGTGGCACTTGCGCCGAGGGAGGTGCAGGCGCTGGGGCTGGCGACTCTGTGCTCGGTGAGGCTGTCCCCGATGGCACACTGGTTGGTGCGGCTACCTCGGAAGCTCCCTCCGAGGGCCAGGGTAGCTCCTGATCCTCGGGTTCCCTGGGCTGTGGAGCTGAGCCTGATGGAGCCCCAACCTGGGTGACCCCTGAGGGTGGGGTCTCTGAGGCATGCTGTAGCTCCGATGGTGCGGACAAGTCCTCCTGCGGTTCCTCGCACGGCTGTGGGGAGAGGGGAGCTTCGGGGACGCAGTTGTCCTCGGCTGGGACGGCAGTGCACTCGGCCTGCTTAGCTGGTGCCCCAGGGTTGGAGGGGTGCGGGGGTTCTGGTCCCTCCGGCGGCCGCGGCTTCTTTCTCAGCACCACGAATTTGACCCCGTCCAGCTCCTTCACCACCGCCACGTTGTTGACAAACTTCTTGAAGCGGTCCCTGCGGGCTGCGCGGCCGCGCGGGTCCCCAGCGTCCAGCAGCGGCTTGAAGCGGCTCAGCAGCTCGGAGTTGCGCACCTGCCCGCCGCGCTCCAAAAGGAAGCCCAGCACCGCCGCCTGGCTCACCCCTGCGGCTGCTGCGGCGGCCGCGGCTGCCGCTGCCAGCGCCATGCTCGGTTCCTGCGGCTCCGGGGTCCCCCGCAGCCGCCTCGCCAGGCTCACCTGAGGCTCTGATCCCCGAAGCTGGACTGCAGTCACGCCCTCCCCGCCGCACCGGGACGTCTCCGGGCGAAGGGCGCTTGGGGCTCCTGCCCTCCGCCTGCGCCTGGCCGGGCCCCCAACCTGGGGGGTAGGTTGCTGCCGAGAGGTCCTGTCCAATGGGTGCTGGGCTCCATGCCCCTGAGCGGCGCTCGGTTTACAGGTGACAGCTGCCACTGGAGGTGCGGAAGGAATGGGGGAGCGGAACCTCTCCGGGCTGCCCCCACCCCAGCCGTGGAATTAAAGGCGCAGCGCTGCTCTTCTGCTCCTGGTTGCTAGGTGGGTGTGTTCCCTGGGGATGTTGGCGGTGGATGGGCGAGGCGTGGATATTTATTCCTTTCAGCAGTTATTTACCACAAAATAAAAGCAATATTTATATATGTTTGTCCTTGCAATATATATTGCATCTATACTACTCCAGTTTCTGATGAATCTCATACAGGAAAACGGATTCATGAAATTCACAGCAAGAATGATTCGCAGTGTGTGACATTGACTGCGTGGTACTAGAGGCTCACAAAAGGTTTAGAAAGCAGTTTTCTCATGGTAAAATAATACTGGTTTAAATGTGGAGGTTTGCAATTTTCTTTGTTATTCGTTGAGTGGTGTGTGTGTGTGTGAGTGTGTCTGTGAGTGTCTGTGAGTGTGTGTGTGGTGTGTGTGTGTGAGTGTGTGTGTGCGTGTGTGTTGTAGCTGAGAAGATAATCTGAGACAGTCGGTTCTGGCTTTCTATCATATGGGCTCCGGAGCTCGAATTCAGGTCATCTGGCGTGGCGTGGCAGCAGGCACTTAGTTACTCACTGAGCTATTTCAAACACTCTCCCTTTAGTTTGTCTCTGTATGTACCTTACGTTGGTATGGAACTTGCGATGCCACTGCCTCAGTGTTCTGAGTGCTAGACCATAGGTGTGCACCAGCATGCTTTCCAAAAAACAGCCCGTTTTAACATAGGATTTCAGGAAATAAACCCACAGGAAAACACAAAGAAGGAAAAAATACCACTGGAAATGACCATTAACATTCTGAAATATTTTCTTCTACTATGTATACATGTTTGCTATACTTCAAAATAAAAGGGCAAAGTAGAAAATATATTGAGGCATTAAACAAGGTCTCCTAAATGTCCAACTACACCACCACACCTCCAGGCCAAGATGTTTTAAAATTTTCGGTTAATTCACAAATATTTATTGAGAACATAGCTTGTGCTGTTAGCAGAGATAAAAGCTTTGACCTAGCAGAGTTCATTTATCAGGAGGAAACAGAAGCGAGAAAGCGGCTTAATACGCTATGAGAGCAATAACATCACTACAACACTGTAGGAAATCGAGCGTGGTCAGACTCAGCTGGAACAGCTTGGGAGTTTGAGCCGGATAGTCAGGGCAGGACTCTTGATGAAGGTGGTGGCAGAAACTTAAACTAAGAGCTTCAGGTTAGGCAGTTATGCAGATGAGGAAGAGCTTTAGCAGCTGAGGGAGCCAGCAGTGAGGGGGCGGGGCTGCTTGTTTCACTTTTGTTGCTTGTTGTTTCCAACTTTTATTTATGAGTGCCTGCATGGTAGGCGCAGGCATGCCACGGTGCAGGAATGGAGGTTAGAGACTTCAGCTCTTTCCTTTTACCATGTGGATTTCAAGAGGACTGAACTCAGCTCATACACCTGGGTGTGTTGTTTGTTTTCTGAGAAACTCTCACATAGGACTCATTAAGGCCTCAAATTCCTGAAGAGGCTGTCCTTAAACTCCTTAAATGCTGAGATTACAGGGTTTGACACCATACCAGCTCTGTGTGTGTGAATCCAATTGGAATATATGTATTCCCAGGCTGTCCTGGAACTCATGGTCCTCTTGCTTTACTCTTCGAAGTGCTGGAATCACAGGTGTGTATCATCAGGCTGGGGGTTTCTTGTTGTTTTTAGGGTTTTTTTTTCTGTGTTTTAGAGTAGGTCTCACTATGTTACCCTGACTGAAACTTGCTATGTAGACCAAGCTAGCCCAAACATATAGAGCTCCCACATGCCTGTGCCAATACCTGAATGCTGGGAATTAAAGGTATGTACTATCAGACTGGCCAACTATGCTGGGAGTTTGTTTTGTTTTGTTGAGACAGGCTTTCTCTGTGTCCTGGCAGTCCTGGAACTCATGTGCCATCATGCCAGGCTAGGTTTTTGTTTGTTTGTTTGTTTGTTTGTTTTAATGTGCACTAGTGTTTTGCCTGCATGTATGTCTTTATGCCAGATCCCCTGGAACTGGAGTTCCAGACAGTTGTAAGCTGCCATGTGGGTGCTGGGAATTGAACCTGGGTCCTCTGGAAGAGCAGTCAGTGCTCTAAACTGCTGAGTCATTTGTCCAGTCCATTGTGGGGTTTTTGTTTGTTTTGGTTTGTTGTTGTTTTGTTTTTGTTTGTTTTGTTTTGGGTTTGGGTTTTTTTGAGACAGGGTTTTTCTGGGTAGCTTTGGAGCCTGTCCTGGGACTTACTCTGTGGACCAGGCTGGCCTCGAACTCACAGAGATCCGCCTGCCTCTGCCTCCTGAGAGCTGGGATTAAAGGCGAGTGCCACCAATGCCCGCCCATTAACTTAAAATTTTTTAATTTAATTTTAGTATGTGAGTGTTTTGACTGCACTGCATGCATGCCCAGTGCCAACAGAGGCATCAGATTCCTAGGAGCCAGAGTTCTGGAAGGTTAGGAGCTGTGCCGTGTGGGAGCTGGGAGCTGAACTGAAGAAGAACAGCAAATGCTTAACCACTGAGCCATCTCTCCAGCCCCATCATCTCCTAATTCTGTTATAAATATTTTCCCAGTTGTCTTTTGTCTTCTATTTTGTTCTCTGATCACATTCATTTTAGACAACTAGATTTTTTGTAATTATTGCATCCTTTCCACAGAAAGATAAATACAAACAGGAAGGCATCTCTACTATGTAAAAGAACATTTAGGAACAATTGCTGTATTGTCAAGCAATCAAACTAAAAGTGATTCCAGCGTGCTTGGATGCTTGGAAGAAAGTTTTGTGTCTCAACATAACATTTGTTTTATCTATTTTGTTTGCACATATGTGTGAGCGCGGGCACCTTCATGACTCTGCATGTATGTGGAGATCAGAGGATAATTCTCAGGAGACAGTGATCCTCTCAGGGGACAACTCTCAGGAATCAGATTCTCTTGCCACCATGTGGGTCCCAGTGACTGAAGTTGGGTCTATAGGCTTGGTGGCAAGCACTTTTATTCACTAGGCCATCTTGCTAGCTGGGTCTATATGGTTTTTGCTGTTGTTTTTATTTTTTAAACATGTTATGATACTGGGGCAGGATAAAAAGATGAAAAATTATGGGGACAAAGAAAGGAAAAGGAACTTGTCTCCCTGGAGTCTGGCTGAAGTCTCTCCCCGGTTGAGAATCAATAATTCCTACACAAATAATATTTGATAGGAAGACTGAAGACAAAGAGCCAATATTACTTTCATATATAGGTGTTTTGCTTTACAATAATAATGAAAACCAGGTGTAATGGCAAACACGCCTTTAATCCCAGCACTCGGGAGGCAGAGACAGACAGATCTCTGAGTTTGGCTACAGAGCAAGTTCTAGGACAGGCTACACAGAGAAACCCTGTCTTAAAAAGAGAGAGAGAGAGCCGGGCGTTGGTGGCGCACGCCTTTAATCCCAGCACTCGGGAGGCAGAGGCAGGCGGATCTCTGTGAGTTCGAGGCCAGCCTGGTCTACAGAGTGAGTTCCAGGACAGCCTCCAAAACAATACAGAGAAACCCTGTCTCGAAAAACCAAGAGAGAGAGAGAGAGAGAGAGATAACAATAAATAATAGTAATGAACTGGTAGGGCCTAGTTCCCCTCCAGGACATGTTCTGGGACTCTAACTAGCTAGGTTTCATTTACAGTACAGACATTCAGTCTCACTACATTCCTGTGACCCCGGATTCTACTAGATCACCTGTAAGCCTGTCAGGTGCCCCTCAAGAACCACTTGAGAGCTCAGTTAGGTTTCTGACAAACTCATTAAATTCAATAACTTCAAAAGTCACCAGAATGGTGAATCTGACTATTGTAAAGACAACTAAATGCTACTTTTCTTCTTCTTTTTATTTTTATTTTTTGGTATGGATTTCACATCATGCATTATGATCCCACTTACCTCCTCATCACCTCACATCTGCCCTCTGCCCCTGCAACCTCCCTCCCAAAATGAAACCAAATTTAAAAGAAAACCCAAAAAACAAACAAGAGAGAGAGAGAGAGAGAGAGAGAGAGAGAGAGAGAGAGAGAGAGAGAGAGAGAGAGAGAGAGAGAAGAGAAAGGAGAGAGTCTTGTCATAGAAGCTGTGGTGTGGCCCGCTGAGTCACACAGTCCATTCATCTTTACTTGCTAGTGTTCATTGCCTCTAGCTTCTGCTATGCTACCAATAATGGGCTCTCACTGGGGCTCCTCTTAGATAACCTGTTATCCTTTGTCATGGAGGTCCTGTTGCTTTGGATCTGTAGTTTCATCCCCTTCACATGCTCCAGCAGTTCATAGATGAGGTGGATGTTGGGGTGGACCAACTCATAGCCCTGGTTCTGGGCCTGGGTGGTAGCTGGGTTGGTCAGCTCACCAGGTTTCCTTGATTGTCACTACTAAGTCAAGCTCTCCAGCACCACCTCTGCTAGCTCACCCAAAGCAACCTGAAGCAAGGGGAAGGGCCAGTTCTGAGTTGTCCACACTCACACCACCAGGACCAGCTCTACTTTTCTGTTGAGAGGCCCTGTCTTCGTTTTTGTTCTAGTTTGTTTTGCTTTTTCAACTTAACACAAGCCAGGGGCATCTGGGAAGAGGGAACTTCTGTTGAGAGACCACCTCCGTCAGATTGACTGCAGGAAAGTCTGTGGGGGCATTATCTTGATTGATGGCTGATGTGGGAGGGCTTAGCCCATAGTGGGCGGAACTGCTCCTGGGCAGGTGGTCCTGGGTTGCATAAGAAAGCAGGTTGAACAAGCCTGTAAGCTTGCATGGGAGCAAATCAGTAAGCATCACCCCTCCATGGCTCTGGATCTTTTCCTGTCTCCAGGCTCCTATCTTGAGTTCCTGCCCTGACTTCTCTCAAAGATGGAGTGTACCCTTAGATGTGGAAACCAAGTAAACCCTTTCCTCCCCAAATTCCTTTGAATCATGATCTTTATTACAGCAATAGAAAGCAGACTAAGAAGCCCACACCCATGCTCTTGGCTGGGCCTTACTTTCTCTCTGAATATAACACTATTCTAAACTTCCTGCTTAAAACCTATATGCAAACAACTTTAATAACCCCCACTCTGCCTTTACTGAGTTGAGGCCCCTGAAAGATTAAGGAACCTCTTCAGACTGCCACGGTGACTATGTGGAACTGTGCTGCTGACAATAGTGTAATCAGCTGTCACTTCTGTCTCAATATTACTGTTTCTTTTTTATTTTATCGTATGGCTTTTCTTTCTATGGGTGCATTACTTGTATGCTTGGTGCCCACAAAACACAAAAAAGAACATTGGATTCTCTGGAACTGGAGTCACCATGTGGGTATTATGAATGGAACCTGTGTACTTTGCAAGAGCAACCAGTAATTTCTGAGTCATCATTCCCTCCCCATATTACTTTTTCTTAAAATCTACCTCAAGTTACGCCCTAATAAAACCTGCTGTACCTTCCCTGCCTGCGTCTATGGCACTCTGCTTTTGTCTGCAGTCGACTCCAGGAGCATCCATTATCTCTCTGTGGGTGTGAAGCCATGAGCCAGGGCTCTGTGAAGGGGATATAATCTGCCTTGAGGAGCTTACCACCCAGTACAGAGGAAAGCTGCCAAGCCATTCTGCTACCTAGTTCAGGTGGGCCCTCCAGGTGCTTGCTGGAAGGGTGACTCTAGGGCAGCGGATGGGGAATGTGGGAATATCTCACAGACAGATGAAGACTTGGAAGAAGGACTGAGGGCCAAGGCAAGGCAAGGCAAGGTGTGCCGAACCTGTGAGCCTGTTTGCAGTTTAGGGTGTGTCCCACTGCTCCAGGAGGAGAATGAGAGGCCTGGGGTGCTATTTTGGACTTTGTCCTGTTTGTAGAAGAATTTCCAAAGAGAATGTTCTTTCTTTCTTTTAGTTTACTGAGTTGGAGAGTGATTAAGAATGCACTCTGAGGGCTGGAGAGATGGTTCAGCAGTTAAGAGCACTGGCTGCTCTTCCAGAGGACCCGGGTTCAAATCCCAGCACCCACATGGCAGCTCTCAACCATTCTATAATGAGATCTGATGCCCTCATCTGGTATGCATGCAGACAGAACACTGTATACACAATAAATAAATAAATCTTTTTAAAAAAAGTGCACTCTGAGTTTGGTTCCCAGCACTTACATCGGGCAGCTCATAACCACCTGTAACACGCGTTCCAGGGGAATCTGACACCTCTAGCCTCCACAGGCACTTGTACTCACTTGCATGTATCCACATACATATATGTAGAGTGTAATTTTTTCCTTGCCAGCTGCTTTGCCCCCCCCCCCGCCAGCTGCCTGGCCTCTGCCACTGTTGCAGTCCCCAAATAACACACGGGACACTATATTAATTATAAAGCTGTTGTCCGTTTGCTTGGTCTCTTACTGGCTAGCTTGGCTTAAGTATTCAATCCATAATTGTTAATCTAAATATTTCCCTTATAGGAGAAAGGGTCCAGACCTCTTACTCCTATGTCCTATGGCGGCTACATCATGTCTGCCTGTGTTTCTCTTTCCCAGAATCCTCCTCAACTCCTAGTCCCACCTATCTTGCTTCCCTATTGGCCAACAGTGCTTTATTGACATATACACAGGACTTCCCCATCACATATACAGGTAATTAAAAACTAAAAGAAGGGACTGGAGAGATAGCTCAGTGGTTAAGAGCACTCTTAGCTGTTTCGGAGGTTTCTGGCACTCACATGACAGCTCACAACCATCGATGACTCCAGCTCCAAGGAATCTAATGCTCTCTGCTGACTTCCATGGCTATCAGGCACACATATGGTACATACACATACAGATAGGCAATACTCATACTCTAATATAAAATAAACATTTTAAACAAAAATATTTTAAAGTAAAATGTCTATATTTTATTGTTATTGTT